ACTATATGTTTTATACAAAGACTAACTATCGCCTGCGAGTCCGACCGCGCGGAATTTAAAAAAGATCTGCAGTTACCTTCAAACCAACTTCCATCCATTCGTCCATCCAAACATTCACATTTAATATTAGTAAGAAGTAAGATTTAGATGTCAGAAACCTTTTTTTTTAAGAGGGGGAATGCGTTACGCATACCGGGTGCCTCGGGGAAAGCAACTCCGGTTATGTGGGACTCTCTCCACATCCCTAAAGGGACAAGGAGCCTACCCACTAAACCCCCTCTGGTTCCCTCGACTCACTGTTTACCGGGGTGTGGGCACATGTAGATGTCAGAAACCTACGGTTAGACTATAACATTTTTGGTCTGGTCGGTTGTTTCCAGTAAGAATATTTATTTATTTACACATTTATGCCTTTTAAGAAAAAAAACAAATTCTCGATGTATGATTTCATGAATGTTTACAATACATGGCTCAGTAAGTTCTGATACAGGGTGTATACAAAACAAAGTAAATAAAATATACATCATTACCTAAGTATTTGTGTACGAAAGTCCTTTGAAGTCTTTATGTATTTATACTTTCCGATTTGTGGAAACGAAACAGCTCATTAGAGACAGATTGATTCAATAAATTATAACAATAATTCCTTCTATAAATCTCATCATCATCAGCTCACTATACGTCCCCACCGAGTGGCTCGGAGCCTACCCTAATTTAAGGATGATTAGGCCATAGTCAACCACGCTGGGCAAGTGCGGGTTGGTTGACTTCACACATATCTTTGAATTTCTGCTCAGATATGTGCCGGTTGCATCACGATGTTTTCCTTCATCGTATATATCTATAAATCTATACTCATATAATAAAGCGGGAGAGTTTGTTTGTTTAAACGCGCTAATCTCAGGAACTACTGGTCCGATTTGAAAAAATCTTTTTTTGTTCGATAGTCCATTTATAGAGGAAGGCTTTATGCTATATAACATTACGCTGCGACCAATAGGAGCGAAGCATCAGTGAGAAATGTTGCCAAAACGGAGAAAATTATTCACATTTGAGGACTTTCGTTGCGTGCGCTGCATAAACGGTTTAAGTTACTCAAAAATATGTATGACAGAATTATTCTAATCACTATATATGAATATTATGAAAATTTAGCGTACATATAGAATATTATTATGTATTGGAAAAATCGTATAAGTATCATATTAAATGGAGATTATTTAACAAAACGATAGGACATTTCATTTAGCAATAACAATCTGGCACAATTTACTCCGTTCATTTTTAAACAATTTTGTAACTCCCTAACATATTTCAGGAAAAAAGTGTCACTTAAATCATATGAAAAACAATGTATTTTAGAGATTTTAATAGCATAAACCAATATCTATCACTCAAGTGAGCGACGGGCCGCGTCCGCGAAATAATACCAGTCCCACTCACCTCAAGAAGGGACAATGGGCTCGAAACTAGTCGGTGCCGCCACCGGACGAATATATGTGTTTATCCGTTTTTATATAACTTTATTATAATGTCTCACGAAAGTTTGAATAATGTTATTGTTTTTCAGAGATTCAGTATGTTATGTTCAGAAATAAAAGAAGGTTTCCATTGGTTTAAGAACGCATAGAGAGAAGACGAATGAAAATAGTTGTTAATATTCCTTTTTATGAATAAATAAAGTTCTAATTCGTTGCAAATACATTCAAAGGAATAAATAATGATAAATTCTCGGTAATGGAAACCATTGGCTAATATCAAATAAGAAACTTGAAACATCCTCAAGAAACATCTCATTAAATATGAAGCAACTGAAAAGAACTTCCCACAAATTATGCACATCGAAGATTTCAGATCAATCAGTCCTTTAAAATGTTAGTAGAAAATTCATATTGAATTGAAGAAACGTCTTCAATTTTTAGGGTTCCGTACCCCAATAGGAAAAAAACACTTATCGAATCACTTTGTGGTCCGTCGGTCTGTCTGTCTGTGAAGACCTTTTTTTAATCAAAGTAAATATGAAAATTTACAAGTGCTATTTATTCTTGCTCTGTGTCTACATATAGCTTAAAACATTGCACTAATTAAATAACAAAGTTTTTTTTAAAATATATTTTACTGGCATATGAATAAACTTCCATTTAGTTTCGCTAAAATAGCGACAGAAGGAACGTGCAGAAAGAGGATTTTTCCTCCTTCACTTCCTCCCTATCCACTTACCCTTTCCATGCTTTTTATAAGAAAAGGTTAAGAAAGAAAAGTGGACTAGAATTCGGGCTTCAGCATTCACTGTCTCCAACTAATAAAATGATATTAAGGCAAGTTATAAAAACATAGCAAAAAGACAATATTTAGTTTAATATATTATGCACAGAATGGAAGGGGTTGTAAGTTTGCATCGTGTGCTTATTTCAATATGCAACTGGATGTGGTGAGGCGCGAAATGGAAATCCAACTGCAGCGCAATATCGAAAATGTTATTTTTTGTCATCGCGTCGCATCGGGTCGTGTTGCGTTTCTCCTATTGAAAAAGTCCATGTTAATCAGGTACATATACAATACGAAACAAGATTTAAAAAATTGAAGTCAATGTTTTTTTTTTAATTTTGAGTTTTTTTAATCTAATTTGAAGTTAGTAAATTCAAATAAAAATTGCTTAATATATTAACTATTTATTAATCGTTAGTTTCTGAGACTAAAATCTCTGTATAAAACAAAATATCGTCATCACTGTCCTTGTTTTAAACAAAACTAAGATAAAAATATGTTTTAATAATTAAATTTGGTGTCAGAAATCCACGATAAATCTTTAATATATTATGTACTACAAAAATAAATTAGCATTGACCTGCGATGCCGACGGCGCAGTGCGGACCCAACGCTATGTCATACAAAGCAAACTAAATCTGTTGCTGGCCGTGCGTGCGGTGCGTCCGACGCGGGCTAACGGACACGTACCTTTAGTTGACTTTAGTTTTAGCTAATATTGAATTGATATTTCCACTGTTTGTTTTTCATTTATGTTATCTCGTGTTATCATGACACATTCAATCAATAGCCCTTCTCATGTCACTCAAGCGTGCACCTATGCATTATCTTAATGAAAGTGACAATTGATACAAAAGGCTTATTTTAGTCACCTTTTTAAAGAAAATAATTTTTATCATAAAATGTATGTAAGGATGGTTTGCTAAGCGAAAATTCTAGCTTTTTTTATTGTAAATTATTAAATAGTAAAATTCTAATTTTTTAAAACCTAGTTATCTATCCTAATTTGGTTTTACCTTTTTCACATAGGAGTGATTCCACGGGCACAATATAATCTCACTAATATTTTAAATGCGAATGGTTCAGAACAGATTAATAGGTTTTGCTGAAATTTATCTTAGATTAAAAAAAAACATGGCGGGCAAATGCTAATAGACAATATTGCTACGAAAATTAAACAGGCGCCTTACACCACGAGTTTTCTTAAGAGAAAACTACTATTGCAAAGCATTACTTGAAAATTATCAATTTTCAGTTTCTCTATACATCGACGTCTATTTGTTATATCTATCTAATAAGGGAAAACAATAGAATTGATCCTGGATCCTTACGAGCTAAATAAATTCGCAAATCTTCATCGTTACGTCCCAAAACATTTAGAGATGATCCCTTTTTTCGCTTATTTCCGACTTTGCGAACGATAAGAATGGAATTGCCTTTGGGACAAAAAAAATTGATTACGGATATAAATCTTTATGCTGGTATTTGTAAGTTTTTTGTGACAAGAATACGAAAACGTCTATATTTTACTATTTCATTGATTTTTTCTTCTAATTATAATTTAAACTATAATTTAATATTTTTTATAATATGATTTAATGTCCACTCGATAACATATATAGTTATAAATCGCTACATTTTTCTTGTAAATATACATATCTTACTAATGTTATAAATGCGAAAGCTTTAATCTATGAATGGATGGATGTTAGAAGGTATATTTGGGTTCTACGTATCTTGCTGTAAATTGGCACATGTGTAGAACAAAGTCTGGAGGAGCACATAGGATATTAGGTAAGTTTTTTTTTTAATACCAAGCAGACAGAGTCCAGTTGACACCTAGTACGATTAATATATGTTAGTCAAATCAACTTTGGTAATTTAGAAAGTATATAGCATAATAAATTATTATCAATTTCGACAACAACAGGAAATTAATATCTGTAGATATTTAGACGCAACTCATAGAGCGGATACAGATAGATACTGGCAGCACATTTAAAAAATATCAAATAAAAACAGTTTTGGTACACACTATATCGGGGACGTCGAAACGTGGATCCGCATCCGTGTTAGAACCCCGACAAGTCGCTATTGTATCCGCTTACTGTGAATTGCCCTTACATGTCACGTCAAACGAGGGTATCTAAATAAAAGTAATCTTGACAAACAATGTACAGTGACACCATCTCTTGATAAGAAATTATATGACGTGAGGCTATTCAATGTACAGTCATTCCTGTTTCGTGTGTTTACCGCGTCAGTTTTTTTTTAATAAATTAAATTCGGTGTTGTAATAGTTCAGTGTGTATTAAGTATATTTGATTACTACTTAAGAAATGTCCGTCAACTTATACATAAGAGTTTTTGATATATGTATGTGTAAGTACTGTTAGGAAGAAAATCCGACACTGTACCAGTGTATCAACGCAACACTAGCCTTATTAATATATCAACGTTTATGTCCCCTCACTAACCAATCTGACACATGACTTGGTAACGAAATCGCGGCATTCGCGCCAAAGGATTCTAACTAATAATGTCTAAAAGTACGCATTTCCATTAGTAACATACAAGATAATATATGGATAACGAAGAGGCGCTAAAGTGGAACTGTTGATTGAAATAAAAATCAATTACTGTGAGCATCAATGACTTGAATCCACAATTTTCAATAAAACAGTGTCTTTTATCGAAAATTACGAGAATTAAGTACATAAAGGGGATACAAATTAGTTGTTTTGTTTATAAACATATCCATTTGCTATTCAGTATCATGTTTTCCTAAACTGTTGCTATCATAGTTGTGTGCAGACGTGTACTGACAGAAGCCACTACATCGAACACGACCCGACCCGGCCGAAAGCCGCACATGCGCACGGGATAGTGGCCGCCATCCGCAAATTAAGACCTGACGTATCACAAACACTGCGCACTCGGTATCACAATAAATAAATCAGAAGAAGGAAAAATAGAAAATCAGTGCGAATACGTTACAATTGCTCCCAATACCATACGATACGTCGATTGACGTATTCAGGAGAAGACTACCAGCCGCGCACTGTCAAAACAAATCAGCGCTTCTGCGATGTAAACATGAACGAACGTAAGATATTGTTTTTCATTTTCTCATTATTATTTTACTGTTTTTACTGCGTTAACATGTGGTTCATGACACACAACGGGAACAAGGACGTGGTGGATGACAGGAAAACGATTAAGTTTGCGCCAGAAATAATTGAGAACAAATCTGAAGCAAAACCTGTTTTGAAGACAAAGAGCATTCCATTGATTGTGAAAGATGCGTGCGGTGCGTTGCAAGTGTTCACGGAAAAACCATTAGTAAAAGGAAAGAAAACTAAAAAAGAAAACAAAGAAAATATGGAACCTGAGAACAATACCCTCACAGCTATAGGAATTACTACATTTCTTATCATCTTAATTTTAAATGCTGTACTAGATGTACTTAAAGCAAAAGAAGAAGAGAGAGCGAGAATGAAATTAAACCCTGACGGTGGACGAAGGCATTCTTTAGCGGAGTTTGCTAACAAGAAGACATTGAGAAGAGAATCTAGCAAGTTTAGTCTCCAGCTATTTCAGATTTCAGAAACGGCAGTGTCGGACGACAAAGGAGGAAGTAAGAATGCAACCCGTCGTGTCCCTTACAAGAGAGGTGAATCTATCAACTCTTACCTAAGTGATAAGAAAGGCCCAGGAGAATCTTCTGCGCCGGCGTCTGTTGACACACCAGTTTCTGAAGCAAATCCTATTAAAAGACAATCCGTTGTAAAACTATTTGGTACGTATTTAAATATTTTAATTGCATTTTAAATGTGACAGCACCATAATTGTGAATTAATCCTTTGCAAACGTTTTTTCTTATAATCGAACTTTCATACTTTTCAATTTTAATGTTAATTAAATTTAATAAAATGTGAATGTCAATGTTAAGTACTTCTTTTACTATCTCTTCTGCTATTGATTTAAATTATCTGTTTTATTAATCAAGGCCTGTCTGATGAATGAAAAAGACTAAGGTAATTTTATCTTTTAACACTTTTTCTATTTATTTATATTGTATACTTTATTTTAGTTAGATTGTAGCAAATGCATGAAATCCTTCGTAGTAATGAGTAGTTTTTAACATGCACTAAGTTTTTATTTATAATTTCAATACAAATTTAAGTAAAGAATCAAATCAATCGTCGGTTAAGCCTTCTCCGATGTTAATTATATGTTCTTGAGTTAACAGATTTTTATTCAGTCATAAAACCGAATAAATTGACAAAAATTTCGCTACTTGATATTCCTATTATCTTCAAGGAACGGTTTTTTGCATTTTTCCAGATTCTGCTACCGATCTTCTAGTCTATCCGCATTTAGTCGTATCGTTTTAAAAATAACGCGGAATTATTATGGCATTTATCATCATCATCAGCTCACTATACGTCCCCACCGCGGGGCTCGGAGTCTACCCTAAGTACAGCATTACATTATCACTAAAACTTAACGATACTTAATGAATTGTCATTTAGCTTTTTTTGACCCCATCTTGTATTATACGATCCCGCAAATTCCGAGCTGCGAATTAATTAATATCTAGCCTGACCATCAATTACTGTATTATCAACAGATTTTACAGCTCATTAATCATTAGAGATTCCGAGCTGCTAATCACAAGCTTCTAATGCGTCCATGCAATTACGTAGCCAACTAGTCACATACATTTCTACCGCTTAAGTCGGATTTAACGTATGTGTGAATATTTAGATCCCCTTTAATTAGCTTTTGCAAAAATAATTTTCTTTAACAAATCTATTTACCTAATAGCATTATAGAAACGTGTAAACAAAGGCTATTAATTTAGTATTCATCATCATCAGTTTACTATACGTCCCCACCGAGGGACTCGGAGCCTACCCTAAGTTAAGGGTGATTAGGCCATAGTCAACCACGCTGGCCAAGTGCGGGTTGGTTGACTTCACACATATCTTTGAATTTCTTCTCTGATATGTGCAGGTTGCATCACGATGTTTTCCTTCGCCGTACGAACGTCGGATAAATGTACATATGTAAATCGGAAATCGAAAAACACATTTGTACATGGCGGGATTCGAACCACGTACCTCCAGATTGCAAGTCAAGTGTTTGACCCCTGAGCCACGGGTGCTCTTAATTTAGTATTAATTGTACCAAATAGATTACATCCAAATCATACATGCATAAACTCTTTGAGTGAACGACAAAAAAGGCCGAACCTACTACACCTATGTACTATTTCGGATTTCAAAGGTAAAACATTTTAGTTTTGCTTGAGGTTTGTATCAAATAGTACCATCCTAGCATTGCTAGACCAAGCTCTAGACTTTATTTTCGTGTGTCTGTTACACTAACACTAACCAGGCTTCTTCATATTGTATAGCTTCAGGTTATAAGCGTATTAGGGTAAGATTTAGTCAAAAAAATTGACGCAACTATTATGATTCATTCTTTATAACTGCGATTAAAAATAGTTTAGCTTGACATGTTTGGTTATAATACGAGTAAATGGTATCGTTTTTAATTTCTATGTAAAGCTACAAATATAAGGAGTAAAGATTTGTGAAGATTAGATTCCGCAGAAAATTATCTTGATAGTGACCGTACTTGATTCTAAATCTGCAACAAATTTGGTTATGTTTCAGGTGGCAGACCAGTGCCGATGGTGCGACGATCTTCATTCCCCGTGTTACCTTTGAACCCTGAGATTCAAGCATTGATGCTGAGCAGCCGACAGGCGTCTTTTGACAGTGATGATGAGGGGAATAAGAAGAGACGTCGAGTGCGCATCTTACGTAGATATTAAACAATTTTTTGCACTGTACTTTTCATGTCAATATTCAATACGATGAGTCTTCACTGTAACATCTGTTCTACAATATTGCTATCCCTTTCATTCTTCTTGGGTATAAAAGAGATAACAATGCTGTTCCTAAACACGTGTTGACAGTTGAAATTCAATGTATACGCACTTCTTCAACGAAATTCAATGAAAAGTTACAAAATTTATATTTCACATTTTTCGAATATATCACGAAATATTTTAATACGATACAATGAATTTTCTCTTTTTATATTGAAATCAAGTTTTAAATACTTAGTAAAAAGTATTATTGACAATGTTATTTATAATATTCGTGAAATTATATAAATAGGATAATTTTTAACGAGTATTCAATATTTTTAAACATTTTTACGTCACTTTGTGCATTTTAACTATCAAATGTTTTTTAGCTTTAAATTGTTTTTATCGGATAGAATTTATGATACATTTTAAAGCAGTATTTTTATTCCTAGTCAATAAACTTTTTAATCGAATCTAGTCAGTTTAATATTCTACTATAATCGTATATGATTTACGTATATCTACATTGTTTTTTCATACTTATAAATAGACAAGACATAGGCAAATACTTTTCCAAATTAAATATTTATTACGTTTTGTTGTTGACATAATATGTTGAGAACATGAACTTCACTGTTTTATTAACTTATAAATTATGATTTGATAAATATAGATAGGTTATACTCATGTTTAAAATGTATCTTATTAGGGTTCCATACCTCGAAAGGACGAAAACGGTACCCTTATAGGATCATTTTGTATATTGCTACAATCACTTAACTGAACTTGATTTGTTACCTGTTTATGTTGGTATTAATTACTTTACTGATAAAAGAATGTTAAAAGCATCAGTTCTATTGTGTCTATAGCAATATTTCAATGGAAGCAATTCGAAGCGTAGTGTAGGGAATGATTGATGACTAATAACGTTTGTGGTCGTTTAAAATGTCGACTCCTTGTCTATAACTGTCATACGCCAACTGAGGTCTATTATGGTTGATGGCGACACTGCATTTTGTTTTATCTGACCCATCAGATTAAGGTAACGTAAGAATGTTACCTTAATCTGATGGGTCAGATAAGAGTGGGTTTGCTTATACACTTACATTCACGTACAGATGAACCTTGGCCTCTTGACGTGACCTTGAGGTCGTTATTGATAAGTTAGTGTTTTGTTTTACATCCTAAATATGAGTCACCACTGCTAAAGGATTTGGAGAAAACATATTGTAACTGATCGCCTTAAAGAAGTTGTTGCAAATGTTTCTATACATGTTTTATGACAGTGGAAACTTTACCTAATGATAATAAATTTCAAAGTCTGATTTATTGTTAGTGATGTTTAATGTGTGTGTTTTTTTTACATTTAAATGTGTTTTTAAAGGCAGCGTCAGTGAAGTAGTATTCATAGTACGAAAGCATATTGCTATCTCTGTAATTTTCTTTCAAAAAATAGAGATGAGAATATATTTTGTACGTATGTCACGCCAAGAGATAGTCTAATTTAATAGAAATCAGAAATTGACTGATTTCTCTGACTGATGTCGTTCATTGTCTATGGAAATTTGTAGTGTTTAAATAAATGATTATTTCTCATTTCTATCGAATACACGACTATGTATTATATAGAACTTCACTAACGATGTCCTAATTTTTCTTCTTGTAGTTAAGTCGTTGGGAATATGCTTGTCGACGTTTTTCTCTGTACCTCATTGTACTTCACTTTTTTACTGCATTTATAACTAAATATGTCTTAAATTAAATTAATATTTTACATTGTAATAATCTTTCATGAAATTAAATATTTTTAACTGATAACTTTTTTTAACTTTCCCCTAAAATTGCATTTGGCGAAAGTGTTTATACCACTTTATTCAAATGATATCATTTGAAGAAATGTACAGTACAAATCACTTGAGCTGTTCTGGAATTACCTGATAAGAAACATCATCCAAACTTTCTCTCCAATTAGATAAAGTCAGCACTTGCGTGGCTGTTAAAGCACTAAAACAAAATCACATTTCCTATTTACAAGTATTTTTTTATATCATAAGTTGGCAAATGAGCGAGCGGCCGCCTGAAATCGTTGAAATAGCGAAGTGACCGTTGCCCATAGACATACGCAATTGCATATGCGTTGTCTACCTTTAATCGACGGAGGAGAGGATGCACAGAAAGAAAATATCTTCCCTTCCCATGCATCCTCTCATCCGGAAAGTCCACTTCCACTTCCTATCCTTTCCTTATAAGAAAAAGTATGGGAAGGGAAGGAGGACTAAATAAGGCCTCCGGGACGCACACTCATCAGACGAAACACGGAATTGCTTCCACTTCACGCCTGTCTTCTGTGTGGTCGTGGTATTTCACCGGGCGAGCCGGGCCAATTCGTGCGAAGATGTTAAAGCGGGCTCTACCACTGTTGAAATTCTGTATTCTGATTGTTTATCCGTATAGTGTAAATGCTCTCGAGTTATTTGGACGTCCGCCAACGAGGCGGTGCATCACTCCTGATATTAGTTCCCGATATGTTTGCGGTAAATATTTTACACAAACAATAAAATGTTTCGGCGAGTGCTAAATAAAAGCGTTATTTAGTGTTGACCTACATGATGCGTTTGGCTTTTCTTTTACCAAAATATCCATTTAAAATATATTGTTATCTCAATTTTGTCAAAGATAATGACAGGGATGACGATATGTTTTTTAAGACTGGTCTTGCCAGGTAGAAGAAACAATTTTTATATATATAAATTGAAAATCTCTCGTCTCCTCGCAATCTAATTATAAATATTGGGCAAATGAAAGACCTTGTTCCTGTTTAAAAATAATCCGCGTTCGCCCGTACGTGTTATAACGATTCAGTTTACAACGGACGGGAATATGAAAAGCTCGTATCTATGATTAAAATATAAAATCGTGATATTTAAAAAAAAACATTGTGATAAATGTTGGGTTTAAATTTCAATGATATATTCAAAAAAAAATGTAAAATTATAATAATTAAAAGTGCTTAATATTTATATCGAGTGCCATTTAATTTATTTAAATAACATTCAGATAGTTAACGAATGTTAAATAAAATACAGTTATAATAAATTAAATAAAAATATTTCTTGACATATTTACTCCGAGAGCGAAATCTGATTGGATCATTAAAAATGGATTGCGAAAAATCTAGCACCGTACTCCACTGGAATTATAGGGGATTCACGAAATTTCCAATAGAGCACTTAAGGGGCGAGGAAGGTGAAGTAACAGATATTTATTTAAAGGAGAATCTAATATCGCGTGTACCGAACGATATTGGTAAACTACGGAACCTGGAAAGTTTGTATTTAAGCGGGAACGATATTACGGAACTGCCTCGAGAGATCTCTCAGTTGCGACGGCTCAAGTGTCTGGATGTGAGCGGGAACCGATTGCGGGGGGTTCCCGACGAGATCGGGGAACTTAGGGAACTCAAGTTCCTCATACTGGATGAGAACGAGCTTCGGAACCTGCCATTGAGGATCGCAGAGCTAAGATCGCTACGCTATCTTTCGGTTTGTGGTAATCTATAAAATAAATTATTCGTGTTTAGTAATAGAAAGGGATTTTTTTAATTATTTTTAGGGTTCCGTATATCATAGGAAAAAAACGGAACCCTTATAGGATTGCTTTGTTGTCCGTCCGTCTGTCTGTCAAGACCCTTTCTTTACATTACCGAGTAACTATATGTACCTTTAATTTTCGGAATGTTGATTAAGTAAATAATTGTTTTGGTCAGACATTTTTGCGTAACAATTTCTAGGAAATGTAGTTTTATCAACGAGAGTCAATCTATAATTAGTAACACTACAGTTTGGCTTTTGATTTCGTAGTTTCGTGTCGCTCGTAAAATTGAGAAGACCCAGTTTTAGCTGCTGTAGCATTGCTTGTGCTATATCAATTTTTATGTTTCCTCATTAGATTTGGTCGAACTTTGAGCTTTCGTGATTTACACGGTAATGCGTCTTTCGTAACAGTGTTGTGATCCAGATAAAATAAAAAAATATAACTTGTATTTTTTTTTATTTTATTAATAGCGAAATAACAGCCTTACCTTGTCTTACCATTGTCTAGTGTAGTTCCCGCATTGTTTGGTGTATTACACCAAACAATGCGTCCGTGAGCTGGACTGGAGTTCAGTCAAGAATCTTCTCAAACTGAGTTAGCATTTAAAAAGAGGCCATGAAAAGCAACTTCATTTTATACATTTAATTAAATATCGTTTCTTTCACCAGATAACAAGTTGCAGTGGTTGCCACAAAGACCCGTTTACAATTATTTCCACTGCGAGTTTAAATTCTGGCGAAATCCTGATCTGACGACTATACCGTATTCGCTTTGGTATCACATGTTTCGTGACCAACAAACAAGAAGTCTTAACATGGGGTAAGTGGAAATGAATAGAATATAAAGCATGTCAAAATAAACCATCATCTCCCTGACCTTATCCCATCAATGTAAGGTGGGCGTACCAGTTTTCGTCCTCCAGATCAATCTATCTTCCGTCATCCCAGTCGTCAGTAACTCCTTTGTTAATCGTGTCACTCTTTACGCTTCCATCCATCTCTTGTTAGGACTGACCCTACTGGTGTACCTTACCTTACCACATTTATGCTGAAAGTAAATTACCCTTCCAGATGTTTGAAGATAACTGAGAACCGACAAGTTTCAAAGGATAGGACATTTCGCTTAACAATACACCAGGAATGCGGGGAATATGAGATTGATATTTCCTGTCCTCAATATAACAATATTGTTGAAACTGGATGTCCCTCGCCACCAAGTCTCTACGAACTTACTAAAAGAGTCGCCTATCAAATGATTTCAACAGCCGTCAAACAATATACAACATATTTTAGTATATATTCAGATAGAAATAGTTATTACTTAAACAATAATAAAAGCTATGATGCTTTGTCTAATCTCGAAAAAACTTTTGATAATTTTGAAATTAATAAAAATATTGAAACAGTTTCTCTGAGTAAAAATGAAATGGAACCAGCAAATTGCATTGAATACACAAAAATAGAAAGAAGTTATTACGTACCCAAAGATATAATAGAAAAATTATATTCATTTTTACCGTATTTCATCAAAAATGAACTGTCCAGTGGACCTATTTCTAAATGTGATAACGCGTACTGCAAGAAACCAATTTTTGATTATGTTATCTACGAATTTTGTATAGAGTAAGTATAATATTATAACTACTAGCTGTTTACCGCGACTCCATCTGTTCTGAATTAAAAAAAACTTAATTAGTAGCCTATGTGTTCTTCCAGACTATATTCTAAATCTAGCCAAATTTCAGCGAAATCCATGCAGCCGTTCTGGAGATACCTACAAACAAATCAATCCATGTAAAGTTTCGCAATAATATTATTGGTAAGATTTATACTGCCGTGTTTTTTTTTATAATTTTTCTTATTTACAGAAAAATTATACTCATCGACAACACGGAAGATGTGGTATTGAATGCAAACTTTTGCTCAAAATCCTGCGCTGACTTTTGGAAATTAGGAAAACGAAATATAATTTCATGGAATTTGTTAAATCAATAAAAGTGTGCCAGGAAAAAATATTTTTCATTTGAAAAAGTCCATAAATTTAAAACAAAGCAACAAAATAGTACTTATCATTTCAAATACTTTTGAGACAACCTCTTTAACATAATCGTAGTGAAAAAAAAAAAACATGGTGTGACAGGAAATTAAAAAAAAGAAAATTCCTAATAAGTTCCTATAATTCATAAGAAGATTGTTTATAACGAAGCAAAGATTTAATTAAGTATTTAGTAAATAATGTTTATTTCAAGATATTCTAAGGTTTACGAAGCAACCGAAGGCGAGATGAAAGCGGATGCTTCGCACAGTTACTTCCAAGGACATAAGTGTTGCCTTCCACCAGACAAGATATCCACTTACGAAATACATTGCAGTCGTTTTAGGAAATTTATTCTTAACCTTATATCGGTGCACGCCGGAGACGTCAGAGCCAAAAATATGTTCAGGTAAATTGTGATATGTATGAAATTTTAAAGATTCCTAACTGGGAAGCCAAGTAATTCGCACGGGACCAGCATGCTTCACTCAGGCCTCATCATCCCTAACATATGGTAGTCTCGAGTCCCTCAGTGGGGATGGGAGTTACCATCAGCCCAGTATACGTCCCCACTGAGGGGCTCGGTGCCTACCCTATTCTAAGGATGACTTGGTTAGCGAGTTGCTTTCACACATATCGTAAAATTTCTTCGCAAATACGTACAGGATGCATCATAATGATGACCTTCACCATAAGAACGTCGGATAAATGTACATATGTAAATCGAAATTACATTAATACATGGCTGCAGATTATAAGTGCATCCACCTGAGCCATCGACGCTCATATGTAGTACCTATAGTATAGTATATCCAAAGTTAGTTTTTTGAAACGTTTTTTCAAGGTCTTACGCAGCTTTATGTATGGAAAGACAACGACAGTTCAAGCATTATCCGTTCTCCATCCATCCGTATAGCAGGGTGCGACTGTGGCTGGAAGCTTTATTTGTTGTTATCATGCTGTTGTCTAACATCGGCATTGCTGTTTTGATCAGTAGAACTGAACCTAACGTACACGTAAGTATCTCTACTAAGATGTTCTGTGGGCCTAGAATGAAAGTGTGCGAGAAAGTATTTATATTGACATTTGTATAAGATTTCTCGGTCAACTATCCATCCGATAGGGGCGCTGCAAAATCTCGTACAAATTTTGGCGATATCGATACGAACTTGTTGTAAATTTTCCTGCTAGGCCCACTGAATTCCGAAAAGACGACGTGTGATCTTACTAAAGCCGATTCAATGTCATTTGAATCCGACAAATATGTATTATGACTGTAATCCGAAAAACTCTTATGTAGAAATAAATGATCTAATAGAAACTAGAAGAATTAACTTGAGACCTCCAAGATGGAGAGGTAAATTAAAATATCGATGCACAAAAACGTGTAAATCCCAAACTATGCAACTGTGTCAACAAAGTTTTTGAAACAAATTTTTATAGATTGAATTTACATTTATATTTGAAACACTCGCCGTAAAACAAATCAGCGAGCAGTATTATTCGTCACGATGTACCGCAGCGAACAAAACCCCTATGTTTTGAATATTTAGTTAGGTCCACAAATTACAATGTACGCAACGAACTTGTTTGTAGTACAAATGCGGTGGATGTTGCTACCACAATGAATCGTGTTGACGCAAAATATTGCGTTACTAGCTGTCGCCCGCGACTCCGTCCGTGTGGAATATAAAAAAAAACTTAATTAGTAGACTATGTGTTCCTTCACAGTTTGCTCTACATCTGTGGCAAATTTTATCAAGATCCTTTGAACCGTTCCGGAGATGAATTAAATTGTACTATTTCATTTGGTCCATTGATTTGACAATATTTTTCTGTTCCAGGATTACTTTAGTACTGCAGTCAAGGCTTTAGATTTCTTCTATATCTTCAATGTTTTCTTTAATTTTTTCACCGGCTATATAGAAGGCAATACTTGTCAACGAGTAGTGTTAGATCTTAGGAAGATCGCTAGGAAGTACGCTTGCACTTGGCTCCTCGTTGATGTGACGTCATCTTTGACTTGTCTGGATTTGTTCTACGAAACTCGCAACGTTGTAGTCTGCCTTGTGTTGGGATCTCTGAAGATATTAAGAATGCTGACTCTTTATATGTACGTGAAGAATTTGGTCACGGTACTGAAAATCGGGGTTAGTATCTTTTTATGTATAGAACTTCTCACAAACACAATTTGGTTGTATTTGCAAGCATTTGCAATTTTATGAGGAGAAATGTTGATGTGAATTTTAAGACATACTCCACAAATTTTCGGTAAAATTGGCTTCTATGTTTCTTTTTATAAGTAGCAATTTTAAAGTTTGTTTAAAATCCATAGAACATAAAATTAAGTATCTTATAAGGCAAATAAAACAGATAAAAGGAAAAAAATCTCTTTGATTACAGTTTACGAAGACTTTAACAAGAACTAGCATGAAAAAGAATTTATGATGGTCCACTATACTATTCTCTAGTTTATAACTGTTGAGGCATTTATTTTCAGATCCTATCACGGACTCTAGTAGAATCGAGTCTATTTATTTTGTCATATTTGACGTGGAACGTGTATTTCCAATTTATGGTGGAGTATATGCAAGAACAATGCTATACGCCGGTACATCCAAGAAATTGTTCATGGTTGTCGATAGGAAAACTATGGAATCAAACATCGACAACGAGATTTGTTTATTCTTTTGATAGAGCTGGTGAGTATAGTTTTACAAAATAACAATTTTGATTAAAACACAGGATTGGAAAGGGATTGATATTTTCTAACTGCCATAGTTCTTTTCTATGGTTGTTTGGTTAGAATTTTGGGTGACTCGACTGGTTCGATCAGTCTGAATAGTTAGCATTAAATGTTTATCTTTGTTTTCTTTTGTATTTGATGTTTTTCTTTATGTTCAGTGGGCATGTTACGAGGCAACGCTAACTTGAATCTTTTAAAAACCGAAGGATGTTTTGAAAACTTTTTTATAGTGGCCTGGGTAATTGCTAAGGTAATATTGGAATATTATGGAGCTTTATTTTTATTTTACCAACCTAATTACTAGTATTGTGCTGAGAATTTTGGTTTTTCACCGACATTTTTAACGTGGGCTTCGATTGCCAAAAAACTTGCAGATTATAGTTTTACACTGCGCTTTCAAATACATAATTGCACTCTTCGGGTCTGAGTCCGCGCGAGCCAAGTACTTCATGATGCAGCAGCAAATAGAAACATACATGAACCAGAGGAAGTATCCCTCAAACATCAAGAAGAAAATCATCAAGTTCTACTCTCTACGGTTCCAGTCTCACTTCTTTGTTGTAAGTTTTAGAACATAGTATTGTAAAATCATAATCCTATTCACAAAAATTCTGGATTTTAATAGAATATTGTCTAATGGCGACCGACGATGCTAGTACCACGAAAATTTAGTAGCTGGCTATTACATAGGCCTTAAAGCTACTTTTGAGATTTTGCTTGAAAAACAAAAGATTATCGTAGGTTTCCGTAAGGATTTCCCTACCATTATGGCCATGAGCTTAAGCAATTTTGACATTTCATACGAGTCGTAATCTTCTCCAACGTAAAAGACAGTCAGTTGTTTTTTCTATTTGATGTCATTTGGAGTACGTTAGATGAGTAATATTATTTTATAGGAGTCTCGCATGATGTCTTGTGTGTCTGGGCAGTTGCGTGAAGACTTGATAATGTACAGTGGTCGTCAGTTGATGAGAGATGTGGCCTTTCTGAAGCATATACCCCGAGCTCTGCTGTTGGAAGTGGGCTTGAGATTACAGATGGTGTTATTTATTGCAGGCGATGTTATAATGAAGATAAATACAATTGGTAAACAATAATTTAAATCAAATTAATTAGAATAGCTGCTAAATTTACTGCCACATGACCTACATTATTTACTGTGACAAAACTATGTTAAGGGATTGCTGAAGTTATAGTTAAACGACGATCATGTTTAGTCGCGTTTTATTATTAGTCATGTAGAAGCAAGATTAGCAAATTTCAGTATGCATCTTAAAATCGTAAAAATTTAGATGGGTGGATAGTTGGATTTTTATTATTACGTATCTCCAGTACATATAAACATGATATACATAGACGGGAGGAACACATAAGCTACTTGCTTAGTTTTCTTTGATTTCACGCTAAGGAAGTCGCGGAGAAAAGCTAATATTTATGTAGGTAATTGAAAGAATGATTGTGAAAAAGAGACTTATATTAAAGTATTTTTCCACTTTCCCAGGTGACTGTATGTTCTTTATTGACAAAGGTACAGTCGCGATCTACTCTGAATCTGGTAGGGAAGTGTGTCATTTAGAAGATGGAGATTTCTTCGGGGACATTGCTCTAACAATGAAACACAAACTACGAACAGCTACTGCTGTAGCTGTCACCAATTGTGAACTATTTAAATTGAATAAAGAAGACTTTGATAGTACAATAGCTTGCTATCCAACTGTTTATGAAGAGATTGAGAAAGTTGCGGCAAGCAGATTAGAAAGAACTCAAGTGTTAGACGAACATCATAAGGCGGAGAGTAAGATGCTTCACAATTATGAAAACATGTAATTAATTATAATTTCAATTTGTTAATATGGATACATAAATATGGATATCATTCAGTACTTCCAACATTCGCAAATACTATGATCTATATATATTAATAAACGTTGGAGTGTCTGCATGTGACATCAAGTTTTTTTTATCTCTAAATATTTTTGTCTGTTTTTGCTTAATCTACGGTACAGCTGAACTGGATATATGATTTTTTACAATTCTGCGCTTACGAAGTCGCTCGACCGCTAGTATGAAACTAAATCGTAGAAAAACTCACCACAATGTTAAGGAAAGGAACCGAAATGAAATACAGATTAGTATTAAAATAAGATTTTTTATTTAAATAAGTAATAGTTTAATTATTATTAATAAAAAGGTAACAAAATGGAGAAGAAATCGGTTCAAACATTTTATTTAATGGAAATTATTACGATTATAAATTTAATTATAGATAAATCGTGGAAAAATAATCGACAAAGTTGTTATAGTTAAATGAACTTAATTTTTAATAATATAATAATAAACGTAAATCAAAATTTCACAAACACCAGAGACAAAATTTTATAACTAGCAACATTATCTTAAATTTAGTGGAATAACTCCTTAAATTAATAATTTAATGGAGACACAATCGTATTGATAAAGCCTTATTCTATATCTACTTGTCTCTTTCATACACAAGAAAAGTTTATTCAATTTTTATAACCTTATACAAATAATGTTTTCTATCTCGCTCTATTTCTCTCACACACAAGATAATTTTAGATTCGTGCACATTTTTTGTGTCAAAATTACTTAAACTACTACGATATATATAACTACGATTTAAATGAAAAAAAGGGGTGTAAGGGGTTAAAAGTGGGGGTGGATATTTATACGGAAGTATCGTAATTTTTACAATTAGAAGCTTGAAACTTATTTTTTAGGCTCTTAATTTGATATATATAAATTTCACCCTCAAAGGTGCATAATAGGGAATAGGGGATAAAACTATTTATTAGAATATATGAGATTTAAGTGAATATTTTTAAAGTTAATATATTTGTCATAATATTTTATAAGTTTAAGTTATATAATTAGCCTAAGTAATTAAAATGCTACCCAAAGACAATATAACACGCGAACGAAGTCGCTGGCACAACTTGTTTTAATATGAGTCTAATGCGACGTTTTAATTCGCTTAAAGACAAACACTAATGCTATCTCTGTTCTTCGAAGAGAATGAGAGAGATGGGTATAGTGTAAGAGAGTGAGAGCCGCCGTTAGGGGGCGTGGCTAGTGTCGGTGGGGGGGCGGTAACGTGCGCGCGCGGCGGTATAGAACAATACGCAGGGGGATTTCCACCATGCACTGTATTCCACCACCTCATCTGCGCTTACGGGAACAATACTGGAAATAATTAAGGTAAACAGATGTTTATTTTTATATATAGACCTTAAAACACCAAAAAAAAAACGATCACAACAAAATATGGACAAATGTATGTTTATAGCAGAACTAATAGCCTCCTATAATATGATTTAAGAAAATTCAATGAAAAATAAAAATAAAACAAAATTACATAACTTACGTACTCCGATAATGATCGCTAGAAAAAAAATAAAACGAAAAATAATCACCTTAAGTCGTTAAAAAGATACCATTTAGGTTCATTTTCCATGTTGACTTGTATGTACGCGACTAAATTCTTAGGGTTGTCTTCCACGCACACAACCGCGGCGGACAGAGTGTACTCTTCTTCTGAACGTATCTTGAACTTTTTCTTCTGCTTGTTTACTTCTAGACGGTTTATTTCCGTGTTTAAATCCTTCTAGAAATAAAGCTTCAAATTGTACTTCGTACATTGCTTTTGAGATTTTTCTAGCCGAAGCCGGGATATTTGGATTTACGCGAGCGTGGCAGTTAAACATAAGGGGGCAACATTGCACCCAATCGAGTACTCCTACCATGATATATACCATAGATGAAACATGATTTCTGAGACAAAAAAAAATTGTATAAAAGATATCATAACTTCTTTTGTGACTGAATTGCCAGTGTTCGCCTTGAGGAGGTATTTACAGCTTCACTAGGCTTGAGGTGGCCGAGCGCAGATGACACTTAGCCTACACCTCGTTTAAGAGTAACTAAGCTCTAGGGCTCCCTCAGGAACCTCGGCTCGGGCCGTTACTTCGTTATTACCGGATTGGGAGGCCGCCGAGCTCTTAGGTCGCTTCGATGGACACTCCATGGATTGACGAGGCTTAAGGGCCCCCGAGAGGGGACCTCGGCATGGCTGTCACTCAATACGCGTTTAGCATTCCGATTCAAGGATGCCCGAGAGGCCGAACCTCGGCTTGATCGGTTGCTGTTGTCTAATTAATGTAATGTCATCCCTGTTATTTTTGACAAAACAGAGAAAACAATATGTATTAAACGGCGATTTTGATCTCAGAAACCCATGTCTAGCGTGTCTGTTTGAGACAGGCTGTGTTAACTGCATACAGAAATGTCTACTTTTCAATTCGCATGGCACACAAAGACATATCAGAGTCACAAAATTGCAAAGAAGAAAACGCTATCTCGAGATTTCCAAGCAACCTAAAATGCGAAATGTGGACTTTAGTTGATTGTAATTAACTCTACCTACTTAAATCTAACGCGCTTCAAATAACAAGTTTTTTTTTACTTAATATTTTGATCGGCTACTCTAAAAACGCGGCTCTATATGGAACGTTTCATTAGTGGTAGTACTTGTTTGGATGCAAGGTCCCTTTTGTATAACTGCCACGCTCGAGTAAATCCAAAAATCCCCGCTTCGGCTTCCCTAATATAACTAGAGCGCGTCAGTTAAATATAAGGGGGGAACGTTGCACCCAATCAAGTAGTACCACCATAATTGAACTCCATATAGGACCGTGTGTTTAGGCAGATATTAAGTAAAAAAAATCTCATGTTAAAAAAGCTCTAAACAGTCAGATTAAGACAGCGTGAGTTAATTACATACAGAAAAGTCTATAATTCTAATATCTGACAATTTAAACGTTACATATGAAAATGGGGGATTCACAAAGTTGCAAAAAAGTCACCTTTGACATTGTCAAGCCAAGAAATGGCTAAAGGTTTTCCAGCAAAATCTGTTTTTTTATTTTATTAAGACTAATAGAACGGGGTGGGTACCTATGATGATTTAAATAGTGTATAATAAATACATGAATATATTACCTTGTCATTAATGGCAACATCGCCATCTGATTGCTGTCTGATCACGAGGTGATGTGGCAACACACAGTTACCTTCCTGCGGACTCTTGTTGCCACTTTGAGATGATGTAGGTCTGGGAAAATATAGATCAACGATCACAAATTACAACAATTTTTGTCTCTAATACCATACTATAAAAAAAATATTTTTTTAATTTGTTTCTTGTCTATCTTACTTATTTCTTACTTATATTATAAATGCGAATGTTTGGATCGATGGATGGATATTTGTTTGAAGGTATCTCTAGAACGTCTGCATGGATCTCGCTGAAATTCGGCATACCTAAAGAACATAGTCTGGAAGAACACATAGGCTACTAAGTTTTTTTTTAATCCGCGCGAACAGAGTCACAGGCGATAGCTAGTTTGAATCAAACGTATTGTGCGCAGCCAAAACATTTCGTAAACACATAGTTTTAAATAGAAAAATGATTTACTTGTCCGGATGTTTAAATCTGCAGCCGGCGCGTGCGCAGTGCGATCCGTAACGACACGGCTTGCTGGTTCCGTTTTTTTTAGAAGCGTCCACCTGAAAGTTTCAAATATAATAAACTATAAATCTTACCAATATTATAAATGCGATTTTTTGGATAAATGGATGGATGTTTGTTACAAGTAATCTCCAGAAAGGCTGCATGGATTACACTGAAATTTGGCATAGATGTAGAACATAGTCTGGAAGAACACATAGGGTATTATTTTTTTTTTTATTTCGCGCAGACGTAGTCGCGGGTGAAAGCTAGTTATACTATAAGTACACACATTTGTATTATAATCATTTTTACCTCTTTTATTAATCCTTTTGACCAATAAGCTTTCTCATGAGGAGTCACTCCGCCACAGTTGATAGCCAATATCGGTGGTAATCTGAAAGAAACCGTACAACAATTAATTAATATTTAATTAAATTGTCCTTTAGATTTTCCTTTTAAATGATTCTTACAATAAATATATTAAATAGACAATTTTTCTCACAGCACAAGAGAAACATCGGCCATTTTGAAGAGTAGAAGTGTCAAACATATTCCCGTATTATCATTAACGAGTCGGGTCTTTTAGTTTTTATGCGACTAACAAGAGAGTTTATGTACGATTTTTTTTCACTTGGAATGTATGTATGTATTTGTGACTGTCTAGAACCTAAACACCTGAACCGATTTTATCGAGTGAGGTTTCATCCGATTTGTCCTTACCCCTGGAGTGTCCATCAGTTTTTTTTAATTACAAATCTTAAAAACAGTTATTTATTATGACCTGGTGAGTCGTCCGCGCTGCGCTGTGGGCGTGAACCGCGAGCAGGCGTCGCACCAGGCGGGGGTACTGCGCCGCGCAGACAGTGACGCCTGCACCAGCTCCGCGAACCCACCGCCCGCACCCACCGCACCCCCTGCACCCACCACACCCCCCGCGCCCGGTGCGCCCGCCGGCCGGGTCTCCCCGTACTGCAGCAGGCACGCCAGCGTCACTGACTCGCGCTCCTCCTATTCACGTCGTTCATTCTAACTTTAGTTCTTATGTCACTAATTTACTTAAACTTGTGCGAAACTTAACTGGCTTCCCTTAAGTTGAAAAATGAATGTCGGATGATATTACGTCATTTATTAGGTGGTGTATTTTCCATATTTTCTGACAAAAATACTAAAAAACAACTCTAATCTGACCGGATCAGATGTCTGTGGTAAATTTTGAAATAACATCAACACAGCAAGCCATATGGCATGTTAATATGAACTTATCTTACAAGTTGACAGAATTATTTCGTAGTTTGTGTATGTGTATGTATGAAAATAAGCTTATAGATACTTACCTCTTTGTTGCATTTGAGACATCGATTTAGCTGATGTCTACCAATCGCAAACAACTGAGAGATCTCGGACTCCTCGCGTTCAACAGAACGATTGTTTGGATATGTCTCACTGAGTTTTATTTGGTCAATTCCGTTTTTAACTGAAAATACATTATTAACTTAATAAATAAGAAAATACACCTTTTTTGTCCGTGAAATTAAAACTATAGAAATCGAAGGACCAAAAAATATCTTAGGAACGGACTAAATTATCTTAAGGTTAGGATATTTTAGGCTTAAATTTAAAAGTCTGGATATTTGACAAACCTTCTTTTAGCTTCAATGTGTCTGTATTATTTTCGTCATTATCGTAATCAGCAATAAAGTCTAATTTAGTATATTGGAATGCATCCTTGTATGGCCCGTTTAAAACCGCTTGCATCTTAGCATTCAAACGACATCTAGGTGGACTTGTTTTACTTAGTTTTGCCATTTCTTTCTCTTTCTTACGAGTTTCTAATATTTCTGAATGTATTTGATGCAAGATAAAACGATTCCAACTCTAGAAAAAAAAAAATCGATACATATTCGTTAATTTTGTATAATTTTAGAACGACTTTCGTAACGTCATATTCAATATCATCAGCTCACTATACGTTCTCATTGAAGGGCTCGGAGCCTACCTTAAGTTAAGAAGGACTAGGCTTTAGTCAACCACGCTGGCCCAGTGCGGGCCGGTACACATATCTTTAAATTTCTTCACAGATATGTTAAACATCACGATGTTTTCCTTCACCTTAAGAAGGTCGGATAAATATACATTTGTTAATCAAAAACTGAAAAACACATTGTTGGAGGGATTCGAACCCAAGACCTGCAGATTACAAGTCAAGTGCTTAACCCCTGAGCCACCGACGCTCTAGCAACATAGGTGTCATATATTTTTTGTATTTAACATAGTTTTATCATCAACAACTTTTAAGTTATGATGTCATTGGGTGTCATGTCATCTGGTCGTAGTATGTCACGGGGCAAGGTGATCCACTTGTGTACGACATGTTTCGTTAGATCTAAACAAAGATATACCTGAATAAGTGCTATTAAATCAGGTCTGGAGTCCGTCGTATCAGTTAGTATCAGACCGAGCGCGGCTGCTTCGGGGACAGTGCGGAACGCGCGCAGGAAGTTGTTGGCCTGACATGCCACGCCGTTAGATGTGTCTAACATGCGAAATAGGAAGCCTGGAATTGATCATTAAATATACCATATCTACTACACAACAACGCTAGTAACCTAGAGGGATAGGCAGAGACTATAGAATTATATTTGCCGCTGTGGCCTTTTTCACATTCGTACATATTACTAATATTTTAAATGCGAATGTTTGGATCGATGGATGGATGTTTGTTTGAAGATTTCTCCAGAACGGTTGCATGGATCTCGCTAAAATTTGGCATAGATGTAGAACATAGTTTTTAAGAACGCATAGGCTACTTAGTACGTTTTTTTCAATCCCACGCGGATGTAGTCACACGTGACGGCTAATCTATGCTATATTACAGTGGTTCCCAAACTTATTTTGTCTACTGCCCACTTTGAGAATAAATATTTTTTTAGTGCCACCATATTTTCACATATTTAAAAACCATTATAACTTCAAATTAAATTAATTAATTATTGTGACCTATATATGTTTATTAACGGAGAATTCTAAACGAAACTTTTACTATAACCCGCAACTTGAGACCTGCAGCGCTCACAAGGGGGCGTTATCGCCCGCTTTGGGAAAGACTGCTATATAATCTATGTATTATAAAAATATGATAAACTCACCTAATTCGCAACTTAGACAGAACTCTTTAGCGCAAGTGTGCGCCAATAGAGTCGCTTTTAACGGCGGGATGTAATACAATACCTGTTTAGAAAGTTGAAACAAAGTTTAAAATTTACACTAAAACCTTGTTATATTAATCAAATAAATTTTAAGCGATAACATCTCACGCCCGTAAGGGAACGTACCCATACTACGTGACCCGTTTAGTGGGGTGGGGGAGGGGGCGGAGTCTTTAAAATACTAAGGTCATTCACAGGAGCGGTGGGTGGGGCTTAGATTTTAGTCACGTCTTCGTTACTTGTTTTTCTTCATAATACATAATTCACTAGTAATTTAATTAGACACCGTGGGAGGGAGGGGTCGATAAAACTAAAAACACTGTGTCACGTAGTATTGGTATGTTGCCTAACCCAAAGGGGTGGGCAGAGACCAAGGGCCTCAATTTGGCGCGGTCCTGATGGTCTCTCGCATCCTCTACATTCAAACATCTAGGCTCTTAATACAGTCCGTCCTTTTTGAAAATTTTATTTATCTACTTATGTAAATCCAACTTGTAATATATATAGCCGTTAGTTTGTTAGAAGAATATTATTTTAAGTTTGGTCAGTCATAATCGTGGTTTCCTTCAGCAAAATCTCTTACGACTCTTTCGCGACTTAATAGCGCGCACGCAGCAGCGCACAATAAAAAAGTGTTCTAAGTTTCTCCCGGGGGTTACTCGGAAAATACGCAAATTTTAACAGACAGGTACTCGGACAAACATATTGACAAAATATGATTTTATTTTATTTCAATAAGTAAAGACACGCCAATTTTATTATATATGTACCTGCAGCATTGGATTGCAATATGAATTAGGTATTGTAGCCTCTAAGCCAGGTAATTTAGTTTTGTTATAGTTTTCCAGCTCCTCGTTCGACCCGTGTTTATTGTAATGGAGATCCAACTAAAATAAAGGATAGAATTTAAAAAAAAAAATCCGAAAATTTATAATCTATGAAACAAAAATTTCAAAGATTAAGCAGCTATACCATAATATAGAGTAAAAAATTAGAATTTCAAAGATTATTTTAAAAAAATATATTTTAGAATTAATAAAAGATTTTAAAAATAACAATATTTTTTTTTATTACTAATAATAATTTTCATGCATTGTTACAATTTTTTTTTGCAGTTGCTAGAACATTTTCCTAGAAATAGCAATTAACATAAAAAAAATGTATAATAATATGTCTTTGAATACTAACTCATCTATCTACCTTTTGGTAATGCTCAGGAATGGGCAATGTACCGCAATTATCATTTTGTTTATCCTCACTCAAATCTTCCAAACTATCTGAGGTATAAGGCATCTGAAATACAAATAAATTAGTTTAAAAGCTACATAAAGAAACCTATAGCTATCTCTTTCTTATATACCTCATTTCTTTTTGTAGTCTTCGGATTTGGAGCATAACCAATAGGTCCTTTCATCTTCATTGTAGAAAGTACCTCGGGGTCGATTGGCTTCGGTTTTCTAAATTGGATTATTTTTATAATTTAAATTAATTTTATTCATCGAGATTTTAGAGAAATGAAGCAATTTTCATTGAAATGGTGACGTCATAGCTACTTTGACTACATAAATACTACTAAACAGATAGGCTACAGCCTATAAGCCGTGATATTTTGTACCTATTTGATTTTCGTCATTTTGGCGTTGATACATTCAAAACGGAACAGAATAGAAGCTATAATTTCTACGGAATAACCTATCCATGTATGGAAATCGGTGTTTTTATAATAAATCTGACCTGTAACCCTTATTGAAGAATTCCGGAGGTAATTCGTTACACCATGCACCATCCGCCAATGACGGCAATTTGACTGAGGAAAACTTGAAATTCTCGTCTTTTAAACTCGCGGTCGTCATAGTTGGTAATTGATCTGCGAATTCTGTGTCTCTGTGAATTAATGAAAAAAGGTTAATAAAAAAAACAACATAGTAACAAAGTTCTATTTTTTTTTGTAGCAGTCGCCCGCGACACCGTCCACGCGAAATTTTATAAATAACTTAATAAGTAGCTTATGTGTTCTTTCAGACTATGCTTTTCATCTGTGCCAAATTTCAGCCAGATCCTTTGAGCCGTTCCGGAGATACCTTCAAACAAACATCCATCCATACATCTAAACATTCGCATTTATAATATTAGTAAGATTTGAATTTTGATAGTAAACACAAAAAATAGACTTTGCTGACCACTAGTTTATATAGAAATATCAAAACTAATTTATATTTAAAAATATCTATAAAACACAACTTAAATAAACAAAATTAAATTTCTAAATTGTTTCATTAAAAATTCAGATCACGGAAACCTATTTAAATTATTATAGAACTTTACATCTTTGTACTAACCTTGAGAAGCTATTAAACTGTGGTTCATTGTTTTGCTGCGGTGAGAACAGATGCAGATGACCTCCTTGATCACCAAACACTAAAGCCTGGCTTGTTGCTGACACATCCATTACACTCATAGTGCTTTGAGTATCCACCTTTAGTAATAAAACAGGATTTACTAAACATTCCAATTTCTTATAAAGAAAGGATGAGTACAGAGAAGTGGATTTGATGAAAGGGTCTCCACCTATTAAAGGTAGACAACGCAATTGTAATTGCGGATGTCTATGTCCTTCGCTATTTAGGCGAATTCATTGAAAATAAAGTGTGTATTTCATTACCCAGTGAAGAGAAAATACTTGAATGATGTAAGAAGTAACATTCTTTATGCACAGCAAAAGTAAATAAATTACAAAATCGGAAGCCACTTATACCATACCTGGAAGATAGATTGCTTCTCCTCCGGTGCATTAACATGAAGCAACGCGACATGTCCATCTCCTGACAGTGCCACCGCACGACCAGAGAACGCTGGCAGGAAATGCAGCAACAATGGTGCGGCTGCTGTATTGATTACCCTAGCTCGTTCCACTGTAGACCCGCGCTTCAGACAACGTAAGTCCCATAATACTACATAAGGCTCTGCTACTACAACACCTCCAGCTCTGAAAGTGATTGGGTACTGATAATTATATTGGCAATTTAATTTAACATATACTTCAAGGCATAATAATATGGATTATAACAATTTATTCGACTGTATTTTGTCATAAAGTTATTAAAATATGATCAAATAAATAATATTTTAAACATATTTTCTATTGCTACTAAATTTCTTCAATAAATTTTACGTTCTAAATGTTACTGAAACAAAATATGATGTAAAATGAAGATAAGACTTAACTTAAAATTTTAACATATGTCAAAAATACACAAAATAAGTTGAATATTATTTATACATACGATTCTGTGAATCCACATGATATAAGCAGATCTCCTTGCATATCCATATCAGACAAAAAATTAGTATGAGCTCGGAAAGTATGTTCGGCAGCCTTTGGAGTCCTAAGATCACGAAGTGACACTTGTCCATTTGCGCTACCGCAAGCCAAAAGTGAAGCTCCGCCACTGCGCATTACTACACAACCTTCTTCTTTTATAGGCTGGAATAAATATAAAAAATACTAGCCTTTACCAAACTCTATCCATGTTAAAATTAAAAAAAAATTATTAGTAGCCTATGTCTTCTAGGTTATGTTCTACATCTATGCCAGATTTCAGCAACATCCATCTAAACATTCAAACTTTAAACCACATCATCGAATGTGCTGTAGCTAAGTGCTGACTTATTTAGAAAAAAAATTAACCTACTATAACATTTTCTGTGAATTTTGCTATATCAAACTCCAATAATTTCTTTTGATGACCTCCCATCATAAGTTTTGTTGAATTGACTTGCAACAAACATTGCATATCTATCATATTTAATGATCTGTAAGTAAAGAATAAATATAAGATGATTAGCAGCTAAAGATAAATTAGAATGGAAAGACATATTAATGTTATTTTTCCTCTTTTATATTGTCATCACTATTTTCTTCAAGGATTTTGAAAGGGATGACTACATATAAAAGAGTTTTACTTCAGAAACATGCTGTAATGATACTGATTTAATTATTTTTACCTGTAAGTATGTTTTGGTATCCCTCTACGTATTTGATGACGGAGAGTTGTTTTCGTCAATGCATAAATACCTATTTCATCGGTCACTATGTCCCTTACTTCTTCCGACTCATGAATATGGAATGATGTATATTTCTGCATAGTGGGACCGTAATATGAGGTAACATGGCCCTAAAAAATAACACCAATGTATTTTTATTTATTAATAGGATAAAACATAGTAATGTTAAAATTGAAGTGCAGATTCATACCGATAAAATCACACAAAAACAATTTAGAATTGTATGTTTGAAAAATTCAGTAATTATGAAATATATTTGGAGGAAACATAATCATGCTTTTTTTATGGGTATTCTGTTTCACTTACCCCTTGATTTCCCATCCATATTAATTCTTCATGTTTATCAAACACCACAGCGGAGACTCCAAAACTATCCCCGCCATCCACCAAAACACTACTCCGCAATTCATATTCTCCTTCCTGTGTTGGTACTTGGAATTGTTGTGAAAAATCATTAGCATATTCATCTGCTCATAAAAAACATCAGGAAAGAAATAATATTAAATTCTTGAGTAAAAAACAAAATCGATATCTTATGGCATTCAACGAAATTATCTCCGCTATATTTTAATAATATACTAACCATTTAACAGATGTTCGGATTGCAAACAATGATCCGAATAGTATTCCATGATGGAGAATTATTACCCTGGATTTACTGTATCGTTTATGTTGCTAACATATCAGGCAAACTTTATATTAATTTTTTAACCATTAAAGAATTAAAACTTCAAATATTTCAGTACTTATTTATATTTATTAATATTTCCATAGGAATTAGGAATAAGAATGGCGTGAAATTCTATCTATCAAAACAACGGTATATCGATATACGTCATTTAAGTGTTGCCCTAACAAAAGACCACGCATAGGCATTTTGACCACAGAACACATTTGAAGATGAAAATGTTTGTATTAGATCACGCACAGATAAAATATCTAGATATGATGTAATGTTTCAAACCAAGGTCTAAAACATGCTTGTGCAAGAATGGTTTACTATTGGAACACTAAGGAAAATAATAAATCCAATAAATAAATTATTTAATCAGCTTATCTTTAGTGCAAAATTAGAAGTTACATGACTTGAAAAATGAAATAAAGCAATAATCATGAAATAGTCTTCCTATTAATAAATAAATATTTTTTGCTTCACATTTATATCAATCATATTTATCAATTAGCTGTTATTGAAACAAAGTGTTGGTAATAACTCTTTGTAAACTCTGTCATAAGATCTGGCATGGCTTCTGGTAATGTTGTTATATGACGTGCTGGGCTCCCTGAATATCTAGCAAATGAAGGTACAACTGTTTCTGCTGGCAACACTGAATTGTCCTCAATCATACAGCAGTCTTTTAATACACATCTGCGACCCTATAAAATAAATTCACTGAATTATTAAACAGAACAAAGAACTGATATAGTTTGATTATAATAAATTGGGCTTAAGTCATCATATTTCCTAATTTCCTGCTGCTCACAAGTTACTCAAAGCTATATACTATTTTATGCTTGACTTTTCTTTTCATAAACCATGACATACATACTTAAATTTTATTTATCTGCATAGATTTTATAATTAGTGGTAGTCAACAACAATACTACTGAGGAATATCTAAAATCGGGACCTTGTTTTGTCAAATTTCTCAATAAATTGAAAAAAAGGCTGTTCCCTTCCATTGATCCCTCAAACACTCTGTATCTTGAATTATTTAAACTTTATAATTCAAACAAAATTTTATTTTCCTGCAGGCATTTTAGTATGTATTTACACTCAATAACTCGTAATTCAAAAATCAGACTGTACATAAAGGCTGTGAAATATAATATCTTACTAGCAATTCACAATATAATCATAAAATTTTGAACTTAAGTTAATTCAAGGTATAGAGATTCTATTTTATTTATTAAAATATGTTTGTTAACTTACTATGACTACATTTTTACCAATATACACATAGGAGCCAACAACTGCTGCATTTACAACTGTATTTTCACCGACAAATACATGGTCACCCATTTGAAGTGGGAAGAATGCTACTCTGTAATAGAAAACAACTTAAGTTACATTACCTTTATTTGGGGAAAAATAGTTAACAAATAAAAATGAATAAGCCTAATTGATTTACATGTCTATAAAACTTTAGGAAGAATATTATAATTCAAGTGTAACTTCGCTTTATAAAATATATCAAGCTTTAAGACTATGTATGGTATAATGGAATAATAATAATAATAAACTTACATACACACTAGCAAAGTATTAGCGTATCTGTTGTATTAAAATTGTTTTTAAAAATTATTTACCCTTTGCTAAATTTCTTGAAGGGTGGACGTATGACAGATCCTTTACTTATAATACAAAACCTGCCAGTTTTTACATTCGCCAGATCTCCTCTTATAATGGCATCACTTTGAACAATAACCTTTCCATGTAAAACAATGTTCTGAGATCCGCAGAGAACTGTTTGCCGACTAACTTTATTCCCAGATGCCTAAAAAATAATAAGACAAAACTTTATGGACTGATTTGAATCGAAATTCCAAAATTTAATATATATCTGCTAACAGTTTCAACGTATTCCGATTTGTTGTAATAGGTATCTTGGAGCTCCATTACTGATATTAGATTTAAAGGATTTGTTTAATGAAACTCTTTAAATGGTACGCCCAAATATTGTATTAGTAATTTTGCATTTGATTTATTTTTGACACTTGACAGTTGGCCAATGTCAATGTGACAATAACATTCGCTGGGCAATGGTTGGAATAATATGCCCAAAAACTATTAAATAAAAAGGATTTGAGATTTGTTAAGGGAAAATTAATTTCTTAATTAAATCATTTTTGACAAATTCTATCTTAAGTATTTTAATTAACATTAATAACAACTATAAACGTCGCTGTGATTAAAATTTCAGATGGACCGTAAACCGAAAACACATTTTACTTTGTTCAAATCAAGTTTTTAAAAAGTAACGTGAAGAGCGGCAATTGAAACCGGTATATAAAACTTTTATAAGTTTTAAAAGTGAAAAAAGTTGCTAAATACATTGTGTTCACAAAAAACAGTTGTATTAAACGACATTTCATTGAATTTTACAATTCAATCAATGGATCGATACGTGATAAGAGAACCGAGGCTTGGTAAATTTTCTGATATGATTTTAACATTCATTTCAAGGAAAATTACAAACACTTTTTAATATTTCTTTTAGATTGCATTATTAAAAATCATCTTAAAAATTTTCAGGCAATCCGCAGCCGAATCAAATGTTCGCGATGCCATCAACAAGTATGAATAACAATAACACAACCTCGTAAGTCGCCTAAATAATTTTATTTAACAAATTACTATTAGTGCTCTTATTACGACATTTAAATATGTTTAACTTTCAGAGGCGAAAACCCATTCTACGGCACGTACGGGCCGGTTTTCCCAAACGCTCAACAAATAAATAATCCGGGTATTGTAAGTAGAACTAGAGCTATGTTATTTTTTTTAATGAAATGATGTGTTATTGTTTGGGATATTAACGTGGGATAGATTCTTAACATATAAGCAAAATATTCATTTTCAGTGCTATTTTACAATGAAAAAATATCCTTTGTACGGGGGCGACGAATATAAAATTTGAAAAAGAACATAAATCTAATTATATTTTGGTATTATTTAGTAGTTCATATTTATAAGCCTTATTTTATTAATGGGCTTACAATTATATTTAAGCGCGCCCTTTTAAAATTGACTTCACATTTTCTACGTACTTATATTTTTATTATTCTGAAATAAAAATATGAAATTCATACGAAATACTCGAGTCGGTAGCTCTTGGACAAAAAGTTCCAAAAAAAAAACGTAATTGCCTTGTTTTAAACTCACCAGGGCTTCTTTTTTAAATTCTTTTTCCATCTCAGCAAAGCCACGAAAACTCCTAACATTTTAATTAAGGTTACTTCAACGTCAAAGGGACGTTGAGTTTGTGGCTGAAGCTGAGGTATTGTTTTAAGAACAAGGGATTAACTTTGTTGTTTGCTTAATCATTTTGTTTTGTATGTTTTTAAATATTTTTTTTTATTTCCCATAAAATATTTCATATCTGTAGATAATTCAAAATCCTGGTCAAATTCAGTCCGGTATCGATCCTCAGTATTTAGCATCGTATTCTGGAAGTACTAACTACATATCAGGTAACATTTTATGTTCACTTATTGAAAGAAATAGTCAAGGTCATCGGTAGCAACGACGATAAACGTTAAATTAATATTGGTCGATTATCTACTTTTTTTTTAGTAATAAGAGTTCATAAACAACCTCCTTACGTGTTATAAGTTCTAAAAAGTTTATATTTGCGATCTTTGTATTCAAAGTAAAATTACCATTTGACTTAGAAATCTTTAAAGTGCTCGAGTAAAGGTGCGAGAATTTTATTATTAGATATTGTCTTAGCTTTTTCCTTCCATTTTTCCTACTTTCCTTTTATTCTTTAGCTCTTAGTTAGAAATCTTGAATCATAGAAATTGCTTATACATATCTATATCATGGTAAATACAACAAAATAAACTAGCACATTTTAATTGTTACTGAAAAGGACAACAGCAAAACCAAGGTCAACATTTAATTCCAATGCAAAGAGATTTTCAAGAGCAACAATACATTCAAGGTCAACAAAACAATCAAGGTCAACAGCTTCATGGGCAATTGTATGTGCATGGGCAACAACAAATTCCTGGGCAACAGTATATGCATGGCAAACAACATATTCCTGAGCAACCGTACATGCGTGAGCAACAACATATTCCTGGGCAACCGTACATGCGTGAGCAACAACAAATTCATGGGCAACAGTACATTCAACCTCAACAAAATATGCAACAGCATGCCTTTCAAGGTCAACAACGCTATAAAGCTGACCTAAATCTCCAGAATATTGTCCCGGAAACTACAGATGCAGTGGTATATACGAAATATTTGAACAAAAATGTTGTTGGTGCTGTGAAACCGGCAAAGAAGTTTGTCAATGGGCCGCTATCAACTCCAAAAGGTATTTACAATTTATATCGATTTTGATATTTATAGGAATTTTACTAAAAGGCTTCAAAATTAAACGAACGTCTTTACGTTATAGACTACTTTATCGTAAGAATAACATTAAAAACTTCTTGACTGACATTTTGTTTATTCCCTCGGTATATATTTCTTTTGATTCTAACCAGACTTCTACTATTTATATCAACCTGTTTTTTATGTCGTATTTCAGGAAAATCTCAAACTCAAACCCAATCAAAGCAATCGAGTTTTTCTATTCATGCCTCAACGTCTACGAAAAATGAAGATTCTAGTTTGGAAAACGTAGTTATGGCATTAAAAGGTATCATCATAAAATCTTGTGTGAAATAAGAAATAAAACTTACTTATAAAGTCTAATTTTATGTTTAGTTACATGTTCTAGGTGTTGTTTTTTTTAGAAGTAACGAACAAGCCGACGACTGTTGTAGCGGAAAATGAAACACAAAATCTGCGAAAAATTCGTTTAGATAAGCTTCAAGTATGTTCCTTACATTTGACATATAAATAATAATAATCTTTTCCTTTTAACAGTGGTAGAGCGAGCTTTAACATCTGCGCACGAATTGTCCCGGCTCGCCCGGTGAAATACCACGACCACACAGAAGACAGGCGTCAAGTGGAAGCTATTCCGCGTGCAGTCTGATGAGTGTGCGTCCCGGTGGCCTAATTTAGTCCTCTTTCCCTTCCCACCCTTTTTCTTATAAGGAAAGGATGGGAAGTGGAAGTGGACTTTCCGGATGAGAGGATGCATGGAAAGGGAAAATATTTTCTTTCTGTGCATCCTCTCCTCCGTCGATTAAAGGTAGGCAATGCATATGCAATTGCGTATGTCTATGGGCAGCGGTCACTTCGCTATTTCAGTGATTTCAGGTGACCGCTCGCTCGTTTGCCACTTTATGATATAAAAAAAAACATTAAATGTGACCCTGCATTGTATTTCGTCGACATTTTTCTTTGTTCTACAAAGCTTTAAAGAGTAAATAGTCATAGAAATAATACTAAAAATGTTATTTTTGGCAATAGGAAGCCTTTCATATTCTTTCATTTGTATAGCCTTTGATCTAAAACATCATATACACGTGTTGAATTTGTTTACAATGTACAATTCGTTCAGGCATTAAATAAAAGCGGACCGCGAGCATTTTCCGGTCCCGTGGAGAAAGTGCTCAAATGGCACAAGGTACTAAAGGAAATAGGCGTTTTGGTACTTTACGAAATTGTTGGTGAGTCACACTCTTGACTATAATTTTGTATACAGTTTTATTTTAAATGCAATTCAAGGAAATTTTTGTGTATAATTATATTTTTGTACTTATTTAAGCGAAATGCTTAAGCGTAAGACAGGGGAAACCTTGTGAGAAGATTTTAGTGATAAAAGATGAAAATGGACCGGCCATGGAAGTTGTGTACTACGAGATCGATTTTCTTTTCCCTGATTTGATATTGCCTTGTACTGTTAGGTAAGTATTTGCTACTATTGGATTGTTATAGCTTTTTTTTATATATTTTTCTCTTCTAGGTCTTATATCACATAATACCTTTATCTCCTTATAAGTTTGTTTAGGACGGTCCCGACCGACAACTGATTCAATTATGTGAACGCGTTTACATGAATGCACGTTGCTCAGAGTTGTAGGTCGCATGATGGTGGGCACGTGTCGCCTGCAGGCTTTCAGCGTGCGCGTGGCGACCGGCGACGATATCGCCACGCTGCCTCGCCGTGCCGCCGTCGCTCAACACCATATTGCTAAACTAGCTAAGGATTACTCACAATAAAATAATATGTAATTAATTAAATTTAAAATGTAATGGTACCCTCCCGGTATTAGAGTTGCCACGTCAAGTGGGAAAGTAATCTTGCTCCCGAAGTGCCAATTCAAATGCTGTAGTGTCTGTCGATGTCGTTAATATTTTTGGGTTAACTGAAATATGAGCTACTACTTATCATAATGTTTGCTGATTTTATTGTTTTAAATTTACGTTAAAAATTGACAAATAGTATTGGGAACTGTAAGTTTAACTCTTTATTTTAACAATACGCAAAAGTTAAATGTTACCGATTAAATTGTATAATTTTAGAGATTTGAATTAATAAACGCTTTCGTAATTGATTCAACGATATTTGCTTCAAACGCCCCTAGTTAGGTATACGTAGACTTGTGAAGTATCATGCGTAACTTCTAATCTCTACATGCGTGTGCACATTGTTTCTTTACCAAGAGATTTTGCCAAGGTACTAGTTCTGTCTACAGATATTTTGAGGTTAATTTATGACATAGGGACACAAGACGTAAAAATCTTATAATTGTTACTGTCCACTTACATTTCTACCTTAAATAATGTCAATATTTGACATTGACATTTGACATAACACGTAGCGATCAAAAGTTTAAAGCTGTAAGTATAAGAATAAATATAATGTATAAAAGTGGAAGCACATCGTCGAAATCAGTGACACACATCTCTAGCTACGATGATGATGACGACGAAGACGAACTTTCAGAAGAATCCTCCATAAATTGGAGCAATTTGATATTTCTTCCATTTCATCCTGTCTTCAAATTTATGGTTCTGTTATCGGTGATCGTGAAAAGCACATTTGTAAGTCCCTTTTAATTGACCATAAAGCATTGAGCTTTTAATGGATTCTATTTTCATAAACTATCTTAATGTTTTTTTTTTTCCTAGGGCCCATTACAAGCAGTGTACCCCATTGTGTATTGTTCAGATGTACTGGATTATAACATCTATTTGTTTTTAATAAAGTATTTTTATATGTATTGTTCTGACGTTATCTACGGCATCGATACCTGTCTGCATATAATGCATAGGTAAGGGTCATATAACATACAATTTTCCTAGTCCTATAAGATAAATTCTCGCGTGGACGTCGAGTTATTTCTAATGATTACCACTAGTAGCGTATTTTCTAAGACTTCATCTTCATCAAATTTGTAGACTCTGTTCCATTACCTACTGTTTTCTTCTTGTATTTTAGGCAAGTTACAGATGAAGCAATGAGACGAGAGTTTTTGCCTAAATCAGCTTTTTTGCTTCTGATTGATATATTATGCATCATTCCATTCTTTCACCTTATGAGCTATGCTGTTTGTGCAGAGGTGGCCTTCTGGCCCAATATGTTGTCTTTCGTGGAATTTATAACGTGAGTAGTTAAAAGTTAAATTTAAATCATTTATATTGCCTAATTCTTGACAATAAATTAGTTTTTAACGGTCATACAACTCAAAATTATCCATGGGATATTTTTAAACTATGAAGAACAGTTCAAAAAGATATGGAAAGTTTGGAAAATAGCTTAATTAGAATAAGATAATATGTGTCCGCGTGGAATTAAAAAAAAACTTAATTAGTAGCCTATGTGTTCTTCTACATCTATGCCAAATATGATCCCTTGAGATATCTTCAAACATCCATCTTAACATTCGAATTTATATTTGTAAGATAAGACTAGTAAGATTATATGATGTCGTTCTTATACGTGGTTTCATCCACACCATCTCGATGGCTGGCAATCCACAACCGTGCGGTTTGCGCGAAACTTCTTGCCTAGCACAGCAGCTTTGTGGAATGGTCTGTCCTCGGCGGTATTTCCAAACCGCTACGACTTAGGGTCCTTCAAGAAGCGAGCTTATCACTATCTCAAAGGCCGGCAACGCATCTGCGGTCCCTCTGGTATTGCTGATGTCCATGGGCGTCGTTGAACACCTCTGTGTTCCCGCTGCTCGTTTGCCCCCTTCTGTTATAAAAGAAAAAATATTTTTTGTTTTTCATTTCAGAATTTATAGGGTGGCAGAATATTTTTCCCTTCTCACTACACATGATAATATTAAACTTTTTGTCGGTTTTACAATAATGAATGTTATTACTGTAAATTGTATCACATGTGTTTTAATGTTGATGACTTACATTGGCCTCTGTGATTCTTGTACTGGCACTGGTTATTACAAGGATTGGAGGAAATACGTCATGTATAAGGTAAAAATTTGGTTCTAATTTTGACATGATTTTATTTTATAAGTCAAAAGTCAAGTTATCGGTTTGAATATTTCTTATAATGTACAATTTAAGTCTTAAAGTTTAGACCTTTATTTTGTTTCCCGACTCGCATTTGTAACCTTTTTGTTGAACAGCGGAAATTAGATGGCAGATTAAAGTCAATATTATTTTTACCTTTTAAATAACATATTCATTTTCATTTCAGCTGAATGAAACAAGCGAAACGTTTACAACTTATGTTTACGGAGCTTCGTTTATTTTTTTCTTTCCCGTAAATTATATGTTCGACGAAATCAAAGCTTCTACTTTGGTGGAATATGTCTTCTTTAGTGCACTCATGATATTTTTCTATCTCATCTCAACTTTTGTTATCTTTCCCAAAATGATAGGTGAATCATTGTTAAAGTTACATTGTATTTTTTCGTTTCACCCACGAGTACAGATTATAATAGGCGAAGCAAAGAGAAGGAATCCTTCGCCAAAAGCATACGTTGATGTGAAGAATTTTTATGCATTAATGTGGAAGAAACACGATGGTATAACGCGTCTTCCTAATATAATGTCGGAATTACCTCGATATCTAAGAGTGGAAATCAAGCAGGATCTCGTTTGGGCCGTATTTTACCATAGTCCAACTTTAAGAAGAACGTCACGCGCTTTCCAAAGATGGTTATGTGATTTTATACATTTAGATTACAAATTACCAGGTTCAAGATTTTTTGTCGGGCCCCATTGTCAGTCACATTTGTATTATATAAAATCTGGAATAGTTCAACTGATATCAATGGACGATGGAATAACTCCTATAATTTCATTTACAAGCGGTACTATTTTCGGGGATATAAGTTTCTTCTTGTCACTAAAGCGAATAGCAATGGTGCGTTGTCTCACATATTGTGAAGTATTTTATTTACCCCGTGCGGATATTTTGAAAGCTATGCATAAGTTCCCAGTAGACAGGAAAGCTATCTTACAACGCGTGAAGGAAAAAATCAAGCATGCTCATACGCTTTATTCGTGTAAAACGCACGTAAGAGGATTGGACAGGGCCGAAGATGAAGGCATCGCATGGCTAAAAAAGCGATGGTGGGAGATATCAGAGGTTGTATCACATTTCAACGTGCCAGAAGATCAACATTCTAAACCATGCTTAAAGTTGGCGGCAGAGGAAGTTGTCTACCACTGCCCAAAATATCTTGGACAATTAGTTTTGTGCACAGATGGAGAATTGAGGAAGCATTCTTTGTTTGCAAGCGTTCGTTTTCCGTTACTTCTAGTTCCAAATTCTAGTTTTAGTGTGGTATGGAACAGAATTGTTGTAGCTACTGTTTTCCTCGTCCTAATATTTTATCCACCAAATATTACAAGGCCAGATGTACCAGTTTGGTTTAATTTTTTTCAATTTTGGACTGATATTGTTTATTTGGCTGATGTATGTGTATCATTAATAACAACGATGGAAAATCAAGAAACAGGTCGAGTTTACTTTGCGTCTGTGATGTTTGCTCGTTTTAAAAATGTCTGGTTCTTTATTGATATATTGTCAGCGACATGGTTCGAGACTTACGTGAGGCTCATCGGAACACCTCAATACTATTACATAGTACAGTTCAATCGATTATTAAAGATATACATCCTCTTTCCTAATTGGAGTTTTGGGAGAGATCCTTTGATTCATGTAATTGTTAAAGTTTGCTTAATTCACTTAATATTCGTGTATATAATGAGTTACTTGACACTTGCATTGATGACAATTATTCCCGATTTGAGTCCTGTTAGTTTCTTTGGCGAGATATTTTGTAATTGGGGAGTACCTAAGAATCTATGTATTTACAAAGTTAATCACGTGTTCGAAATATTTCTAGCATGGGTATTGGAATTTCTCTTTTCGCATAATACCACTCAAAATTTAACCGATGTTTACGTGTCAACTGTGACTATTTATTTCGGTTATATAATCTTCATTTACTGTAAGACAGCTTTAATTGGAATATTTCACGCTTATAATACTGGTATATCGAAGTATCAATACTTTGTGATTAATATCACGAATCATTATAAGCAATTTAAAATACATCCAGAACTTTTAAGACGTTTAAATCGGTATATGAAGTGCCATTGGAAATATTATAGAGGAATGGATGTTTTATATCCTAATGTATTGAAGAACGAGCCCTACGATATCTATTGGAAAGTACACGGGGAAGTGGCAGAGAATATAATAAGACAGTCTCCGCCTTTTCTGTTGGCCGATTACGCCCTTATCAGGGAACTCGCCTACAACGCTAAGTTTATTTTGCTTCCCAAGCTATCTACCGTTATTATTTTTGGTCTCCAACCGAAAAATGTAACATGGCTTGTACAAGTAAGTTTTGGAAATTAGTTTTCTCATACTTAGTTTTTGTTTTTCTGGCCATAATCGTTTGTAACATTTGTTTCAAAATAAATGTTTCTAATCAGGGATACATTAAAAGTGAATACCATAACAAAGAAGGTGAACTTATCAAAAGTATGTACAAGCCGGGTGATTTGCTTGCATTCACATCGGTCTTTTTCAACAAACCCCCACTTAGAACATACATGGCATATACCGAATGTGAGGTATTTATATTATCCTTTTTTAATTAAACGCTAACTTAACCATTCCATTGCAATTCCAAATTCAAAAATTGTGAAGTTTTAGAAAAACTTTACTTTTTTTTTATTTTTGATTACAAACCTTCTTTGATAACCTAAGAATACTCTACCGTAATTTAACATAATCTGTCCAGTGATTTAGGTAGAAATTATAGAAAACTAGCAGTCGCCCGCGACTCCGTCCGCGTGGATATATAAAAAAACTTAAATAGAGTAACCAGTCCTCCCATCCATCCATCCATCCACGTCACATCCGCATTTATTCGCATTTATAATATTAGTAAGTTAAATAAAAAGCAGCTCTACGAGGCATAAATTCGAAAAATAAATGAAGAAATAGTATCCTATGTCCGTCTTCTGGCTCTAAGCTACCTCCTCACCAATTTTCAGCCATATCGGTAGAGCTGTTCTATATATGTAGATTAGTGCTTAATGTTTATCGAGTTTAAATTCAACAGGTTCTATTCATAAATAGAACGACTTTCTTTAAAATCTTAAAGCGTTATCCGCTTGAATGGTCGCAATTCCAACATTGTTTGGAAGAATTTAAGACGAGGTTTGAAGAAATGACACAAGATGTTATTCAAAAACATAGAGATGTAAGTATTATTATATTTTAGTAATAATGGTACAGCAGGAAAAGTTTCTTAGCTACCTAAATAGATTCTAATACGAAACATAAATTATGTTTTTTTTTTATTATTTAAATATTTTTATTACAGTATCAGAAGAAATTACGTCACCGTATTTTTCATTCCAAGCATGAAGAAAGACGTTCTAGCCAAACAAGAGAATCGAGTGTAACTCAACGCTTAACGATGATAAATATAACGCCTACGGCACCGTATGTATTCAGCACGATTATGTAACAAAACTAGCTGTCGCCCACGACTATGTCCATGCGGAATTAAAAAAACCTTAATTAGTAGCCTATGTTTTCTTCCAGGCTTATGCTCTACATGTAACCAAATTTCAGCGAGATCCATGCAGCCGTTCTGGTGATACATTCAACAAACATTTGCGTTTATAATATTAGTAAGATAATAAATATAAGCGATGTTATTTTTTAATGATCATATTATTAATAGCATATGGACCACCCTTGTGTTGAAAATCCACTAATTTCTTATAAAAATGAGAAGACATGTTGATACGCAGAAATTTGTATCTATTCAAAAATGTTATATTGCATCCAATTGAGAGCTATGATTTTTATTTCTTTATTCGAGCATAGAACTAATAAGCACTCATACTTCTTACAGATTCTGGCATTACTGGATGCTCCTTCGTGTTATAGTTGTGTGTATTTCAATTATCACTAGGTCTATACAAGGTAAGAGGCAATGTTGAGTTGAGGATATTTACCGTAATTTGGTACAAAATTTATACAGAATTATGCCGTTAGGTTTCAAGGACGCATCACTAATAAATTCAATTAAATTTCAAAGGTGGCATTGGAGCTTACTGGAGGTGGCCATTGATGATTGCAGGATCATTTTGCGACAGCATCGGATTGATTGATATTGTTTTAAAGCTATTTGTAAGTTATTGTCTATAATTATAACCAAATTATGGGTCAAAAAACTGATGACAGTCCCTACTTCGTCCGATATCATTAAGGATAAATATCCAGTCCAAGTAACGTATCTGGCCTGGTATATGCTCCACCAAATGTAAGCTTAACTTTACCAGGTATATTGCCATAGAAAATAATACATAAGATAATTTCAGTCAATATAATTTCAATTCGTTTTGTACGGATCTGAATGTTGTGCCACCAAGGTTTCGGATGAAAGAAGATTGCATGTATGAAATGCGTATGCTAAGATGGATGTGTGGTGTTATAATACAAGGAAGGATAAAGTTAAAAATGTGTATATTAAAGGAAGTTTGAAAGTAGCGCCAGTGATCGAGAAATTGAGGAGTAAAAAATTAGCGTGGTTTGGACATGTTACTCGTAGGGATGATGATGATATAAGCAAAAAAGTAATGAGATTGAATGTGGATGGCTACAAGGGTAGGGGAAGACCAAAAAAAGTATGGAATGACTGTGTGAAAGAGGATATGCGTAAGAAGGGGTAGACTCGGATATGACGACTGATAGAGATGTATGGAGGAGTAGTACATACTGTGCCGACCCTCGATAGGGATAAGGGCAGGTTGATGATGATGATGATAATTTCAGTCCGACAACAATCTTGTACTGGATAATTTCAGTCCGACAACGATCTTGCACTGTTATTGGCATCCTTTGAGCTTTACTTCAATTTTACCTCTGCTTACCGAGTCAATTGCAGATGCCGTACTACGATGAGCGAGGGATTCTTATAACCGATTTTAGATGTTGCCTCAGACACTATTTAACTGGAACCTTCCTGATGGATGCTATTGGTGTTCTACCAATATATGAAATATACATCGTAGTGATGAGTAAAGTTGTTGAAGATGAAGATGCATTGATTATAAATACATTCAGTCGATTTGCACATTTGTATATAGTTATTGGATATTTTGACTACCTAGCCGATAATCCATCGGCGAATATTGCTTATATTATGGTAAGTTTTATTCTGTCGTTCAAAACCGGCTAATTTAGTAACAAAAAATCTGTAAATAATAATTCTCAACATAACATCTCCATAAATTTTATAAATAGTAATCACAGCGCTTTTTCAAAATCACTACGACCTAGGGTCCTTCAAGATGCGACCATATTTCCTTAAAGGTAGCAACGCATCTGCAGTTCCTTTGGTGTTGGTGCCGCTCGATGCCCCCTTCTCTTATAAAAAAAACATGAAATGTTTACTTTCATTACATAAATTTACTTTTGTACAATTTCGTCCTTCAACAGATGATTAAGTGGCAATTGATATCAGTTCTTTTGATGTTCGCGGTCAGCCACTACTTTGTTAAGATATGTATCAAATTTAACTGGGACGCTCATGGACATTTTATCAATGCTACCCTCGTAAGCAGATGCTGGTTGCCTAGTCACACTGTTTTTGACAATAATACTGTTACCTACGAAGGTATTGGTATGGTAAGTTTTTATCACTTTAGTCAGTAAAAACCACGTCAAAATAATTATTGAAGTTTTTATATACAGTGCAATTTCATGTCTTCTTTTTAGATTTTCGCACAAAGTTTAAATTTCGCTCAAAATGGACTACTTAGAATTGATTTGGGAAATTTTGAAGAAACTCGAAAAGATATTGGAACATCCATTGTTTTGTTGTTGCTTGGATGTAGTTTTTGGTGCGTAACAAATTTTATTGAGGTTTTTAGTGGACTAAATAAAATAAATATTACATTTTTATTTGCTTGTTTTTCAGGTTTGTTCTTTGTTACAATCTTACCTTATTGGTATTACATTTCCGCGGGAACACAATATACCAGCATGGAGTTTTTCAACTAAAAAGATTTTTAGTTGCTGAAAGAGTAGACGATAAACTTATCGATTATGCTCAGGAGCATTTCAAGTATATTTGGAAAAGGTAATTACGTACGTACCTACTGTATTTTAAATTTTTCATCATAATTACAGTGAATAAACTTAAATTTATCATTTAGGACCAAAGGCACCGATGTTCATAACTTGATGAGCGATCGTATTGGTGTCGCTTTCAGACAAGATTTGAGTTATTACTTTTATAAACAGTATGTATCTAGATATTCAATCTACTTTTCCATTTTATTGTAATTTAAATAATATCATCCATTAATACGTTATTCGTAGAACATTTACAGCACTCAATAGCGTTCTACAAGGTGGTGAACAGTTGGAAAGAAGTATGGCAGCTGCATCTAGGCAGATGCACTTCTTGCCAGGCCAAGAGTTACTAAGAGAGATGGACTTGACGCCGTGGGTATGTGTGGTGCACCGTGGAAATATCGTTGTGAAGAGGGGCGAGGAAAAATTGGCAGTACTGACGAAGGTTATAAACGTTGAAATTGACTTAGAATTTGTTGTTGTTCGAGCTGATGATATTAGAATAGAATCATGAAGGAATACATATGAAGAAAGAAACTGCACAAAAGATCATTGCAATTTTTATAAGGTTCTTGGTTATCAGGGTGCAATATTTGGTCAACTGGACGGACTGAAGCCACGACCAGTGCGTGTGTCGGCGGTAGCAGAAGGATATGCAGATGTACTAGTAATACCCATTGCAGATTTCCAAGAAGCTCTCAATCATGAAGTACGTTGTTCTTATGACATTCCAGATATCACTGATGTTACACAGAATTCAAAAAACATCAAACCACTTCAAGAGAATAAAGAATTGCTATCCCATTTGTTGGCTCCTCTTAACATCCTAAACTTAGTCATCCGTATACACAAATTTTATTTCTATTATACAGTTCAATAGAGTTATAATTAACACTTAAAAGTCGCAGTACTTTGCAGGCAAGAGCAAACATGGAACGTCATATAAAACATGACTTTATGCCACTAAAAAAGACAGTAGTCGAGGATCCATACAATACTGTACAATATATTCTTCGTGGAAGGAAATCACTCAAACTTCCTGTGAGTAAAATAAATTTGATAAAACAAGGAATGAATTTGACGGTTTTGACATGTGATGAATATATGACCTAGGGGTGTGATATTCCCTGATATTCTTGCAGTGGATGACAACATACATGGAAGCGAATATCGGGACTCGATACGCCCAATGGCTGTTTCTAACTTGGCTGATCGAACCTGTGATTAGTTCCACAGTGGTCCTCATTTTAGAGACTGTACCGGATGATGTTAAATACGAAATTTTTATACTTCTAGCCGTACTAGATATTGTACATTTTCTCAGTTTTCTTTCCAAATTCTTTGCAGTAAGTATCGATTATATTATTTAAAAAAATTACGAATAGGCATTTTTTTAATATTCCAGTATTTTGGTTTACATGACTTTCTTTCCTAAAACCTTATTTTGCGATTCTTGGGCCATATTTTTGATGATAATGTTATTCGTTCGTTTCATCTTATAGTGTAGCCCTTACATACCAAACCTTCTACCAAATAGCAATAGCCTTCTACCAAAAATTCCTATGCATTAACCTACTGATCTTGATCGATTGATAAATCCTACCGTACTGTTCTAAGCTGATTTAAAATATTTAAAAGAAATCCATGTTGTTTTAGGCGGAGTTAACTGTCGTTGAAGGTAAATGCGTAATGCGTTTAATTAAGTACAGAAGGTTTCTTAGATGGGGTTGCTACTGCGACATGTTATCACTTCTTGTTCCTCTATTAACATTTGTGACTGACAACTGGTGGTACCAATTGGCCAGGCTGCTTAGACTACGGTTACTATATGAGTTTCATAGTTACTTCTGCACTGGTTTTCAGGTAACAGGAGTTATGTTTTTTTAATTGTAGGTTACTTTAAGAGAATTTTAATACTATCAATTTTTTAACCATGATTTTTTTTTAAATAAATTATTCGAATCCATTTTCCGCGATTTGAGCAATGAAATAATTAATTTTTAAAATTAAAATCAGTTTTTATATCTACAATACGTTTTAGAACAAACATCAATAGACACAACTGTCACTTTGTTACGGTAGTATAAAATTTAATAAATATTTCAGAGCAGAGTTGGACCAATCTTGTTAAAGTTTTTGTCAGTAATATTGGTGCTTCACGCGATGACATGTGGCTGGATGATTGTAGCATGTAGAGGTATTTATTCCAGTATTTTTTTTATAAGAGAAGGGGGCAAACGAGCGGCGGGAACACCGAGGTGATCAACTACACCCATGGACATCTGCAACACCAGAGGAACTGTAGATGCGTTGCCGGCCTTTAAGGAAATGGTATGCTCGCTTCTTGAAGGTCCCTAAGTCGTATTGGTTTGGAAATACCGCCGAGTACAGACCGTTCCACAATTTTCAAAGTGAAGACTATTTTATAATGTTTCACAAGAAACAAATCTTTAAATGTTATGTGGTGATGTAATTATTCTAAATTGTAGATGAAGTGTTTCCTATAAAAGTGCCAGTTATTCCCCCGGATGTAAATGCTACAATTGATCACACGGAATGGATTCTGCCTCAAGACAGAAAAGGTGGAGGTTAGTTGATATGAGATGGAAAAGATGAACCAATCATTGTTAATTCACTACTTAAATTACATTATGCCCTGCCAACTTACATCTTTCTCCTCGTAAGAAATCTTTATCAAGTTGAGGTTTATGACGTTCAATTTGTTGTCTAAATTCAGTGGACTAGTTAGAGTTGAATGATGTTGTGATACCAAAATCTCTGTACAAAACATATCGTCACCTCTATCAGTAACTTTGTTAAAATAATATTATGATTTATACGACGATTTTGGTCTCAGAATCCCACGGTAAGACAAACTATTTGACAATAACATTTATTATCTAGGTTGTGCAAGAATGACAAAGTCCTTTATAGTCAATGGGAAAGTCAGATTCGGTTTTATTGTGCCAAAAACCTGGGCGGCTGATTACATTGTATCAATGACGTACATCCTAGTCTTGTACACGAGTACCGAAATGGAATCTGTATGTTTTTATATTTTTATTTCATTGAAATCGGATATAGTCAGTATTTCACTTGAATTTTGATTGCTCATTGCTAGTATGTTATTTGACAAGCACATTTACTTAACATAATTTTAAAAGCTCGATGAAAAAGGTAATATAACGGTAGACATCCACTGCAGTGAAACTTGAATTAATATATATTGTTGTCCTTTTCATTTCCTTCGATAAAACTGACATTACAATTTATTTATATACGTTTCAAAGCAGTGGAAACCAGTCGTCGCTGCAGTAACGTAGTATACAAGTAACACATGTCAAATTCCCAGGTTGTATCACTAAATGAAAAACAAGTTTACTACAAAATTGTAATAAATTTTGTCATATATCTAATGGATATATGGATACTAAGCAGCGCAATTAGTGCTGTCTATACGAAGTTAAACGATTTATATAAATATGACTACAAAGTGATGAAGTTTTTAATATTTTTGAGAAACACTGGCTTGTCGCCGATTCTGCTGCAGGCGGTGGACGATTACACGAGACATTTGTGGCAAAGACAAAGAGGTTTTTATATTTATGTTTGCCTTTATTTATGCAAATTAATCATTTTAAAAATTAAAATGCAAAACAATTTTTTTTCATGTTATAAAAGTGCAATTTTGTGCAGCTTGTGTCTATTAATATTTTTGGACCTTTATTGTGCTTTACTTTCCGGATTTATTGATGGAGCTATCCTTCGTAAAGTGATATAGAGTTTGTCCCATTAAAACAATCTTGGAACGCTTAATTCAAAATGAATTTTAGATTAAAGCTAATTGTGAGGATTTTAAACATAAAGATATTTAGATTTATTACTCTTAGATACTCATTCTAATGGTGAAAGTAATTGAAATCGGCCAGTAGTTTTTAATTTCATTAGTTACAAGCATAAAACAACACTTTCACAGGTAACTGGTTACCAGAGTTAGTACAAAATGCACCGCTATGTCTTCGTGAAGATATTCTTGGAGCCCTATACCTTTATCATTTGAAGTCACCTCCGTTACTAAAAGATTTGCCTCATTATTTTCTAAGACAATTGGTGACGAGATTAAGCCGGGTTGTGGTTTTTCCAGGTTATTACAAATTTCAATGATTTTTTTTAGTAAGACGGCCAATCAGTCTCTTATATTTTTCTGGTGTCGGCATCAACTAGTTTCGAGCCCGTCGGTAACCCTTCATGGGGGTGACCAATGAGCGACGGGCCGCGTCCGCGACATAATACCAGGCCCCTCACCATAATGAAGGGTTCCCAAAGAGCTCGAAATTAGTCGGTGCCGACACCGAATGAATATACGTATTTAGCCGTTTATATATCAGTTTATGAATCTCATGAAAGTTAGAATAACAAAGTGGTTTTTTACTACTATACTTATTGGTTACAAAAATATGAAAGCTTTTGGTTTTAAGAAGCCTGAATATGCCGGCACGATGGGGTACTGCTATCACAGAATAGTGACGTATCAATTAAAATTAAATCTGAATTAAATTTCTACAGCAGTCAAATTTCATTGTTCTATTAGGGAAGATGATTGTGCAAGAGGGGGACATATATCCCTGTATATATTTCATCCACGAAGGAGAAGTTGAGAAATGGGGAACAAATAAAAGGTAAGATAAAGATCTTATAGATTATTGTTATTCGAGAATTTGTTTCTTAAAACTTTCAGTGCCACCGACTCGCATTACGATTTCTTTAACAGGAAAAGAATTAGTGGCACTGGAAGTGTTATACTGTTGTTTATTCCAGCGGCGAAAAAAAGTTGTTAAGCATATTGACTACAAACGATTACTTCGGTTTTATTCCCGGCCTCTTTCCTAATTCGCCATTTTTGTTTTCATACGTGTCACGAACGGTAAGTACTACTAAACTATTTTACTTGGATATTAACCGTCGGTTTCTGAGATCAAAATCCTCATTAAAAATTATTGATATATCTGTTTTTTCAAAGATAATGATAGAGGTGGTGATATATTTTACACAGAGATGTTGGTCTCGGAAACCAGCGGTAAGAAGTAGAAACAACAAGATAATTTATCTTTTATTCTTTTGTTTCACTTTTATATTTTACTTCTATTTTTTCAGGTTGTCGATATAGTTTCTTTGACGTATAAAGATTGGCAAGATCTTTTGCAAGGTTATCCTAAAGTGAAGTATGATTTATACACAGCGGCAAAGCAACTGAAAAAGGAAATACAAAAAACTATCTTATGAATATATATATATTTTTTAATTAAAGTAAAAAGTAACAGATCTAATGTTTTAAAATCTTTTACTCTATAGCATAGCTTAAGTTGAAATAATTGGAAAAATAATCGTTTCTTATAATTTTAAATAAATGCATACATTTTTGGTAATTACAAATAGGAAAATCGTTGATTAAGCTGAGTCTTTATATGCGAATGATTTGCGAAAGCGCTCGCTGAAACTTTTACTAACGAGGGTTAATGCTAGTGTATGTTTAATTAAGAATCTGTGTGTTCGATTTTTTCATGAGATTTTACAATGAGAAAAAACATAGCAATTTTTTTTTACAGTAGTAAGAATAGATGTACCATTTTGTGTTGGACAAACTAATTTGATTTGATAATATTATAATTGCGAATGTTTGGAGTCATAGATGTAGAACAGAGGCTGAAAGAACACATACATATGCTATTAAGTTTTTTTTTAATAACAGTGGTAGAGCCCGCTTTAACATCTTCGCACGAATTGGCCCGGCTCGCCCGGTGACATACTACGACCACACAGGAGACAGGCGTCAGTGGAAGAAATTCCGCGTTTCGTCTGATGAGTGTGCGTCCCGGAGGCCTTATATAGTCCTCTTTCCCTTCCCATCCTCTTTCTTATAGGGAAAGTATGGGAAGTGGAAGTGGACTTTCCGGATAAGAGGATGCATGAAAAGGGAAAATATTTTATTTCTATGCATCCTCTCCTCCGTCGATTAAAGGTAGGCAACGCATATGCAATTGCGTATGTCTATGGGCAACGGTCACCTCGCTATTTTAGCGATTTCAGGTGGCCGCTCGCTCGTTTGCCACCTTCTGATATAAAAAAAAAATTCGCGCGGACAGAGCCGCGAGCGACAGCTATTTAGTAATGTAAAATGCAATTTTTTTTTTATATTTTTTTAAGCGTTGTACACAATTTAAAGTTTGTATCATAACATAGAAATACAGTGATGTACAGGTGAGCTAAACTCTAAAAGAGTTCTCTTACAGCTAACCTTGCGATACAGCGAGGATGTATAGTGGGTAATAACTGTTTTTTGTGCAATATTACATCATTTGGGCAATGAAAGTTAACGTTTTATCATTTTCAACAGTTGACCATTAATTATCTGTAGGGCTCGCAGGGACACGGACCGCAAGGGCAGTGGTGGTCCCAACTTGAATGAATTAGTTTCATTACGGGTTGAAACTATTTGAGTCTTTGTATTTAATGTAATTATTATGTTGGAGATTGTTATTTGTCTCGTCCATGTTTTTAGTTAAAATTGCAATTTTCTTCTTCACACAATGTCTAATTCTTTGTTCACGGCGAAGTCTATACTGCATTATTAATTGTCCATCGCAGATATTTTCGACCCAAAAGGTTTGATTTTACGTCTATTATGCTATTTTTTATCGAAAAAATATTGTAACACATACCCACAAAGGAATATCTTAAACGACATTTATTACTTACCTTTTCTGTCTTTAATATACAGAAAGGCAGAAAAGAAAGCCGATAATACGCAGAAATTTCCTTAAAGGTGCAAATAACGTTAATATCATTAACATTCTCTTTGAAAAAGTCGGAGAAGGTGAAGAAATACAACATGAAAGTGAAACCCGCGCCCGTTTCGTTTACAGCAATAAAAAAAAAATAATTGAGCAATCTCATTTAGATAATGCGTTTCGAAGCGGGTTCAGCTAAATTGTCTCGGTTTCTTTATATAACGTATACATTACTTTGAGTATCAACGTTATTCTAATTCACCAAAAAATGATTTAATGTTTTTACATCGTCATTTTAGAAATGAGTTTGTAGTCTACAAATCAGATTAGAAATTATATAAACTGTAAAGTTTTTTGCTTTATTTATTTAAATAAGATGCTATGTATATTTTTTTTGCTTCAAATTCTTAGCTTCATTATTAGATTTAAAGGTTCAGGATAACCATTATAAAAATACAATAGTGAAGCTAAAAATTAGTAAACAAATAAAACTAGCGTGAAATAAATGTAAAATCATCATCATCAGCCCACTATACGTCCCCACCGAGGAGCACAGAGCCTACCCTAATTTAAGGGTGACTAGGCCATAGTCAACCACGCTGGCCAAGTTCGGGTTGATTCACTTCACACATATCTTTGAATTTCTTCACAGATATGTACAGGTAAGAACGTCGGATAAATGTACATATGTAAATCGGAAATCGAAAAACACATTGGTACATGGCGGGATTCGAACCCAAGACCTGCAGATTGCAAGTCAAGTGCTTGACCCCTGAGCCATCGACGCTCTAATTATAATATCACGATAATGAAAAATCTATTCATTAATTAAAAATATACTTTAAAATAGTATCCATACATAATATGCTCCAAAATATTAACTTATAAGCACTTGAAGAAAATTGCCTTTATAAATTCAATTTCGCACCCTCGCTCATAAAATGTGTGAATAATCTACACCGGGTAACTAAATAGCTGATACAGAATCAACTTAGGGGATCCTTGTACGGTTTGAGAAAATGAGAATCAAAAGACGTCGAAAGAGAACCATGTATTTTGAAAAAAAAAAATTCTCTTTTGGAATGGAAAGGATAAAGAAATTACGAAACTTAATAGAATAAGAGCGGCGTGTGATGGCATAAAAATCAGGATGACGATCGTATTAAGCGTTAAGAAATGTATAAAAACATTTGTCAAGTAGCAGGGAGCTACGTAAAATGGCGTATTATAAGAGAAATCGTATTAAACGTGATAGTATTAATGGTGTTCTAGTGTAATATCATTTCTTTCAGTTATTGAGCGAATTTCCGATATAAGGTAATTAAGGTTAATAAATAACCTTGAAAGTTCTTTAACACGCCTCTGTGGCATTTCTGGAGAAGTTTTGCTGAAATGAATTTTTCAAAATACGTCTATCAATTAACATGTCGATTATTATATCTTGAAGTAACAATTTTTTCCGTAATCTAGACACTAACTTCTTAAAATAGCCATTTTTCATTTATGACTCCTTATGCCGAGCTATAAACTGTTTTCTCTTGTTACTCTTTAATCTACCTATTTTTGATTTCTTCCCCTACTGGCAATTTCTTACAAAAATATATCCTAATAATCCTAAAGTAATATTCTAGAAATTCAGCGGTTAAATTGCCTGATTATCGCTTTTTATTAAGTTTCCCACGGAATGAGTTTTATTCATTTTTACGCTAGCAATTTTCGCGACAGTTTTATTTACTCGTAAAATTTATAAACAAGGATACGAAGTGGAATTAATAGACACAGTTGTATAGTAAAAACTGCCGCGACGGCCTTTGAATATCGTTATAATGTCTTCCACTATAGCATGGCTTGTTTTGTCATCTGTCATCCACAGGGTAGGGTACTTAAAACTTTATTTGTATTCTAGCCACTTTGTATAACTTTGCCTTGTCCGAATTTGACAATTTTAAGACCGAATTAAGATTTCTCACTTAATACTATAGCGCACACAATTTTTATTAAACTTAACTATTCCGACAATTATATATCAATGCTTCACAAAGTTTAGGTTTACTATCGTAGATTTCCGAAACCGAAATCCCAATTTAAAACGTATAGCTATCTCTGTTTTGTCAGAGAAATATTAGGGATGACGATATGATTTATTCAGAGATATCGGTCTCAGAAATCAACGGTTAATACAGCATAATGAACTTTATCGTTATGTTAATTATATTCGTGTTATTGTATATTATTAGTTGCATAAAATTAAGAGTAAAGGTTAGATTAACTAATCCTTATTCAGACAAAAAATAGTTTAGTAGTTTGGTTAATGATTATCTTCTAACTCGTCGTAAAAGGTCTTCAAACCGCAACAGTTTAAAGTTGTACGGACAAGTTAAATGGTGTCCTATAACTTTCCTTTAACAAGTTCGTTATTATCATGTTAAAGTGGTAAGTTTTCTTCATTAACCCATTGTATCAGTAATTACAAGTTAATTAAACTCCACAAGAACTATCTAACAGCTTATTTTTCTTAATTATAGTCGGACCTGGATACGCAAGAACTAGATAGGCGAGAAACTTCTATAAGAGATTGTCATTGTCTGGTTCATATAAGGGAATAAAATGTCACGGTGCCTTGCGGTGACTCTCGTTCAACCAGGTTTGACTGTATTTATTATTTTGTCTTCATCACCATCTATTAAATAATTGTGTATTCGTGTGTTAAAATAATATTGCATAAAAGATTCTTTGCCTTATCCCGGGACCCTCGCAGTCGCACTCGATGTTGGCCACCGAGGGGGTTTTAGTGAGTAAGAATCTCACATAACCATGTCTTTCCCCCAAAAGGTATCTTACGAAGATTCCCCCCCCCGATACAAAAAAGGGAACTTTAACAAAACTTAATCAGAGTTATTAGTATTCAAATATGTTCCTATTATACGCATTTCTCAGTAGGTATTCAATTAAGTTCTTTTAAATAAGACAATGCATTAAGTTTTATAAACATAACATAAATATCACGCATATAAATAATAGTAATTAGTAATTACGTTTAATTGCGATTCCCGTTGACAAGTGTAATTACATAGTCCGTCTGAGTTGTGACATCTGTGGTTTGTACCCCTCAGGGCCGCGCGGACAATCGTTAGGTCAAACTAATTACTTGAGCTAAGTATATTAAATTTCTACGTTTATGTTAAAGTTCTTTATAAATTTTATAAATGCGAAAGTTTAGATGGATGGATGTTTGTTTAAAGGTATCTCCGGAACGGATTAACGCATCTCTTTAAAATTTTGCATAGATTTGTAACATAGTCTGGATGAACACATAGGCTACTTATTAAGTTTTTTAATGCATAAATCCATAAATTTTTCTAGAGAAAACACTAGACAAGGTTTTTGCACGTATCAAATATCTAAATACATACTATTTTTTTTTAGATACTAAGGAACGAAGTTAGACGATTTATGCGAAGCAAATTTGTCTTGAAACTCGTAATTATCGATGTACGATATTCAACTTAAGACT